AGGTAATCGGAGGGAAAAAGATGACAAACGATTATATGAAACTCGTGTTTGTCTTAGTTCAGTTGGTTTGTGAGTTTCATATACTTATTTACTATTGCATTTAGGTTTTTAATTTTGGGTCGTGTTTACTCTTTTGGGTTTGCTTTATTTTTTTCATATATGTCTCAAATAGTTATTTAAAATTTATTTGGTTTATAACATAATATTTTGTTTTACATTTTTGAATAATGATTGTTTTCTAGGTGCTCTTATTATTTGTTTTAGACTATTTGCTCTGTTTTTAAGTTTCTTACAAATCATGTAGTTTTTCATGTAAGGTATATGCATAGTCAAATTAAACATTTACAAGTGAATCAACTTCTAATTACACATTTATATATACGAGCATTATAGCCAAAAAGATCGGATATATTACATTATCTTTTGATAAGAAACTCTATGATCATGATCAGAGAGTCTTTGACAATTAATTTTATACATTTAAAAGAAAAATTATTCTCAAATGATTTTAATACCACATAATCAGTTTGACAAGGTTTTGAAACCCTGCGGCCTGCGCAGGGCGCGGGCAAGCTATCTAGTTATTTGATTATAAAAATGTTTAGGAGGTTCCTAATTCTATGATTATGAATCATATATATGAATAAACCTTGTAGAAACAATATTTCATTCAAGCTATGATATCTTCCACGAGAGAGGTAAGGAAAGAAACAAAAAATCCTAAATCTTATGTCGGATCTATCTGGTCCGTTCCATATAAGTATACCTTTATTCAACAACATATTACTATTGTGTTCTTCTCGTTATTCGATCTCTTACCTAACTAACTTGCGTTTTGTTACATCTCTCCCACGCACAAACATCAATTTGATAATAAAAATCACTCAACCTATCCCCTTTACCAAATTTGTACACTTATGCATTAACTTGGTCATTGGTCAGCAGCTAATTCACCTATTGTAAGGAAGGAGTTTCTCACACTTACACTCGTAAACACTCATAAGAAAAACCTTGACATTCGCACGTGACGGAAAATGATAAAAACAAGTTAGTAAACTCGCATTCATTAGGAGAGACAAAGAACATAAAGCGATGAATCCAAGCTCTTGAGGAACAATCTCTTGCAAACAATAAATTATCTGTTATAGCAATGTCATAAATTGTAGATGCACGTTCAATAAAGCTACATTGTTTTGTACTTTTGTTTAAGAGATTAAAGGTTGTCTAAAGGGATTTCAAAACAGGTGAGCTATTAACGTAAACTTTCTATGAGTAGCCAATTGTTTTAGACTTTTTGTGTGTGTGTTTTTATCTTTCTTTTTTTGTTCTATTCAATACTTAATTATAAGGACAGTTTTCATTACAATATTTACGTTTCGATTAGGGAAACTAATACTATATACATCTGCCCAGATGTTTTGGATTTTGTATCGATTTTCAGTTCTTTATTTATTTCTGGTGATATTCCTTAATTAAATTACTAATGTTTATGAATGGAGAGGCGATGCATTACGTTTTTTTCTCTGCTTTGACAATTCTTTATTTGGGTTTACGAGTTGACATTTTGCAATAAATCAATATGAAAAAGTGATTTACAAATGTATAATATAATATAATTTAAAACCAAAAAAAATGTATAATATAATATAATATACAAAAAATTTAAGTTTGATTAAATTTTAAAAAATTCAGATCTTAAAACTAATCGACAACCAGTTTTTTAAGTTAAAATTTTTTAAAAAAATCAATTTATTTTGACTTACCTTAATTAAAATTTTTATTTTAAAATTTACCGATTATCAGGTATGAAAAGAAGATAAAATTGCGCTGACTTTTTAATTCAATGAAATAAAATAACACTGTTTTATCATTTTTAGATTTGGGATATCGAACAAGTGTAAAACAATCAGCCTTGGACCATTAATCCATTATTTGGGGACAATGCATACAAAAAAACATGTAAGAAACAAAACAAAAAAAAGTCATAGGAGACAAAAATGAACACAGGAAGTTAAATCCGTCACGGCGAGAAAAAGGTGTAAAACAGTAATTGAGCGGTGGTCTGAATTTGAACGTCTCAAGACGCCCGTCAGAGTTAACACCGTTAAGAATTCTTTTATAATTATTTTTTCAAAAGAAGTAGTGGTGGTTAAAATAAACGCGAAGCACAGTACAGGGCTCTGCATTTGGCGCATACACATCCATGAAGTCTCTCAATGTCATGAGTCAATTTGGCAACAACCACTCTATTGACTTCAAATTAATAAGTATATAGTTTAATCTCATACACTCGTCATGGAATTTAATATATATGTGGCGTATTTAGGATAGGAAAAAAAAAGAAATTGTAAAATAGTCATATAATAAAAAGAAATGGGATACACACCTACCACATAAGACAGCGACATGAAGAACCAATGGTGTTACCTACCTCTCACCAAATCCACCATTGCCCAAATTTGTCTCCATATATTATTCCACATCACTTTCTCTTTTGCAACCACGTTGTTGCATTACTCGGGGCCTATACACATATTGCACTCTGGGCCCATTAGCCAGGAGCTAGAATTGTTTAGCTATCTTTGCCTTGTATGGCATTTACTTTTTAAAAAACATGTGTATACTCTTTAAACGTAAAATGTAAATTATTCTTGCTTTGTATGGCATTTTTATGTGTGTATGTTTTTGTGTATAGATAGAGATAAACAATATTGTTGATATTACCACTGATTGTTACTATTTAGTATCAACAATACATTATTCATCTCTTGTTTACAATACCAACTAACAAGTTTTAACCCCAAAAGAACACAACATATTAGACATTAGTGGGATCAAAGATAAAACACAAAGTCATTTTTGTTCCTTTCACTACTCTTAGCCAAACTTCATATTGCTAAAACCACTCCTCTCTTATGTCCTGTAACAACCTTCCAAAGCCTCTCGTACCCATCTTTGTAATGGTCCAGAGACATGCAAAGCTGTCTTATCGCTTCTCTTTTCTGCTCAGCCACTTCCGATGCAGCCACTCTTGTCTTCGCCACTTCTTCTCCAAGCTCACTTGACCGTCTTCTCAGCCTCACTTGCTCCATGTGAAGCTCCTTCATATGCTTTTCCATTTCTTTAATCTTATCTTCTCTCTTCCCAATCTCTTCTCTTAACCCAACCCTTTCATCTCTCATTACACTAACCTTCTCGGATTCTCCTCTAAGCTTCTCCTCCATTTCGGTTTTCTCTTCCGTGATCAGCCTTACACGTGATTCCATCTCTCTCAGTTGCTCTCCAAGTTGGCTTCGTTCTTCAAACAGCTTTGACATTTCTCCCTTTATCTGTGCTTTCTCTGGGAAAATCTTCTGTTCAGCGTCAGAGACTGCAGTTTTCAGTGCCCTTATCTCGTTATCTCTGTCCTGTAAACTAGTCTTCACCATTGCCAATCTCTCTTGCAACTTCAAGACTTCTTTCTTCTCTGCATTGAGCTTGTTTATGTGGGTATCAGCGTCTTTCTGAGCTAACTCGAGCTCATGCTGTAACCTTTGCAGCTTCTCCTCTGCAGCTTTACTCATCTCAAGCTCGGTTTTCAGAAAACAAGTCTCTTTCGCAAAGTTCTGAAGCTTCTCTTTCGCAATACTCAACTCTTCCTCTAAGGCCTTCACTTTTGTAGCTCCTGCATCTTCATCAGTTCCCTCTTTATCCAAATCAAGTCTCTTTTTCTCAAGGCTATGTTGAGCATCTTTTTCAGAGGACATGCAGCTCTTAAGCTCAATCTTTAGCTTAGAGATCTCTTCTTCGTGCCTCCGCATCTTTTCATTAGCTTCTGTAAGCTCTGCCTCGTATACAGTAACTTTGTGAATGAGATCAATGTTGTTGTCACCATTAACATTTTCCTGCTGGAGAAGGAGCTTCTGTTTCGTCTCTTGAAGCTCAAGCTCCAGTTCAGCCATCCTACGGATCAATGCCTCGTCACCATCATCATCATTGGCAGAGGAATGATCATGAACCGATTTAGAATCAGAATCAGAATCAGAACCGGAATCTGTCAAAGATGATGAATCTTCCTCTTCTTTATGACGGCGACTCGACTTCTCTTGAGAGGTAGGAGATGATTGCTCAAGAGAGCTCTGTGACTGTATCATCCCAGACGGATGGTTTTTCTGAAGCTCACCACTAGCTTGATCATAACGCTCAGCCAATGCACGATACATGCGGTAAAATTCCTCCACAAGGTGGATCAACTCAGGACGCTTCTGGTAATACATCTGAGCTTTCTTGGCAAAAGAGTCTGCGTCTTCTTCAATCAGCTTTAACATGTGGTTCACGCGGTCATCCATCTCTGAACAAGCCAAAACAAGAACAAGAAAGAACAAGTTCAGATTTTTTTTGGTAATTTACATTAAGTGGAGATCTCAAGAATCAGTGAGACAACATACTCTCTAGATTCTCTGCAAGCCATTTTGAGTTCTTGGGACAATTGTGACTATCCCACCACCATGAGTGTGATTTCTTGGTCATAGACCTCTTAAACTGCTTCTTTCCAAGAGCCTGGGAACACATCAGACAAAGTGAGTAAAATCTTAGGACCAAGAGACCAAACAAAAGGATCTAATGAGTGAATAGCTCACGACTGTTTATTACCGCAGAGGAGGCCATGACTTTGAAGGGGTGCAGAGAAACTCAGGAATCCCTACAAGAAGATTCAAGATTGTCAACGAGGATGGTTCATAATACACTAATAATCCTTTGCACTCATTTGAAAAACTCAGGTAAATTAATTGAAGTTCAAAGACTCAGGATTGAAGATTTGCTTGAGTTTATCGAAAGAGTAGGGACAAATTAGATGAGATAAGAGGAGAAGAGAGGACTGCGCATGTGGCAAAGGAGACACGTGAAGCTTCAACAACCCATTTTGGCATTTGCCACAAATCTCAAGATATCCAAAGATAAAGTTTCAGCTTTTAATTACCAGCAATTTATTTATATCAGAAAAATCGATAGAAACTAATAATATAATTGTAGATTGCAGAGAGAAGAAGAGACAAAAAGTGTAGGAGACTAAGAAAAAAAAAAGCTTACTTTACTCAGATGCAGAAAGAACAGAGAGCTTGTGATTGATATTCAAAGAATGGTCTCCTTAAGCTGTTATATCCTAAGCTTTGAAGACGATTAGTCTAATCAAAAACTAATCATCTTTATATCACGTTCTCTATAGATAAAAATATTATTAGTAATCGAGAGTTAGTTTCTCACATGAATCTTGAATATTGGAAACGCGGCTCTGAATGTGAATACGTTTTCTCTAACACGTCTTTACTCCACCGCTACTCACCTGCTTTTTTTAATGGGTAATTTCCACAAGTTTTTTTTTTTTTTTTTTTTTTTTTTAAAGAAGAAAACTGAATAATTGTGTTATGATATGAGAGAGCATTAATGGCGGATCTTCAACCCCCAAGATTTTGCATGTGGCTTCATCGTGATTCGAGCTTCGTTCAATCTCTCTAGACTTAGAGAGATGGTGAAACCCATATCTTCTGATATTAATCCAACCTTCAACAAACTTTCAACAAACTTACGTACATAATTATATATTTACGAGTTAAAGTAGATAGTGAAAGATACCCATAATTTAGAACTAGAAAGAAACCACAAACCACGATTATGCAAAGGAGAGGGAAAAAAAGGTAATAACTTTGTGAATTCTTGATGTTAATTTAAGAGAAACAAAAGTTTATCACTTCTCTTTTTTTTTTTTCTATGTTATTCCATCTACAACAAGAAAACTGGATCCAAAAACAAAAAAAAAAACAAAACAAAGATCAAAGGCTTGTTTGGTGTAATAATCACTCTCATTGGGAAAAGATTCGAACATCACACTTGGGCTTGAGTGCCTTTATCACATCACTCTGATTCACATTTTCGCACGCAATAACAATTGGTAAATGAACCCTAAACCCCAACCAATCAAAACCCAACTTCCCACTCACAAACACATTAACCACAGCTTCAAGCTTCTTCTCTTTGTTCCTCAGCAACGAAGCATCAACATCATAGACCTTGGCCTTTCTAAGCCTGGTGGGAATCATCAAGTAAGTATCGTTTCCAGGGCTTTGCGTGAATCCAAGAAGCGTCTTTTGCCCGAGGTTTATGTTCTCAGAAGACACAGAAGCTTTCATGGGGCTGTAATACAGCAAAGTCTTGTCGTTTTTGTTAGAAAGCTGAAGAACCGTCTTCAAGTTCGCATTCAAGAGAAGATCCGTCGTTGAGTTGGCGAAATCCAGCCTCGAGAACTTGAGGTTCGTGACAAAAACCAGAGGCAGTCTAGATTTGATCGAAGAGTTCACAGACAATCCTGTCAACAAAACAATGATAAGAACAATGGAGAGAAACATGCAGGTGCATGCGCAGCATTTTCTGAAACATCCAGAGCATTTTCTCTTCTCCTCTCTACCGATACGATCCACAAAGGAGCCTGAGTTTCTACTCCGGTCAATATCTTCTTCCTCTCTGAAGCCAGAGAGTTTCAACGACGATTCTCTCAACCCAGAAGGTGGAAGCTTTAAAGGTGGAGCCTTTTGGGGATTTTCGACAATACCAAACTCGTTTCTAGAGATTGAAGGGCTTGAGAACCTTGAACTCAGGTCAAAAGAGCCTTTACCGTAGCTGCTATCTTCTCCTTCTCCATCTTCCTCTAGGACTTTCTCGAGCACGCATTGTTTTGAAGCAAACTCAGGGAATACCAATGCGGGATCACCGAATCCGCAAGTCCTCCTTGGAGGTGGAGGAGGAGGAGGAGGAAGCGGCTCCGACATTGGAGCTCTGTTTTGGATTTCATGAAAGTCAGATTTTGTCTCTCTCTCAAATCCCAGAAAATGCTGGTTGGAAGATAAACTTCAAGGGTCATAAATCTCTTAACGGTAGATCAAGGCTGGATCTTTCTTCCCCCAACGAATCTGATTCGTTAATCTATTGTTGGCTTTATTATTATTATCAAAACAAAAAACAAAACAGAACCCAAATTCAGTGACCTAAAATTAGAAATCCCCGATTTTTTCTCTTCCAGTTTTCTTCAATCAATTATTTCACATTCCATACTTATCCCTCACGGTTTTTGACTGGTGTTGAGAATACTTGAGACTCACGGAACTGAAACAGAGTAACATAGAAGAAAGAGTATTCAGTAGACAAAACACCTAAACCGAATTTAAAAATAAAAAAGAGAGAGTCTCTATCGAATCTGAAACTACAAGTAATAGTTGGTCTAGATTCTAATCTAAATCCCAATATGGTTAATGGATTTATGTTTATATGTAGAATAAACCACTAAAAACTACTAATATGACACTTAGTTTTTAAGTTTTTTTGTAATGATATGTGGATGTTGAATCGAAACCCAAACTAATCCCAAAAACATTTGAAAAGCCAACTATTTCTTTGCAGTTTAAACGTCAACACAAACGAATACTTCGTTTGGTGATTGATGATTCCTTTAGTCTAAAGTTTTTATTCTGGGATGATAAATTATATTTTCTTTGAGGATGGAAAGTTATACTTTCACGATTATGATCACATATATAGTAGATTTTATTTCCTAAGTTCATATTTATAAAAAAAAAGGTCATCGTTATTGATATTTATCTAGAATAATGATTCTTTATTCTTAAATTTTTGTATTTTATTGTTTGAAAATTTTCTAAAACAAAAAATATGATTCAGTTAGGGTGTATGAATTTTGTCATAAATTTTTTCTGTCCTAAATCGGCACAAGTTTATATAAATGATAAATATATATTGACTACTTAGTATAATGGACAGTTAAACCAGCCACATAAACTGAGTTTTGATAAGCCCGGTGATCGGGTTATCGGAAGAATAGGATTAGAGGAGAAGAGATAGAAGAAAGAAAGGGGAGAAGGGGATAAGCCGGTGACTTATCCGGTGAAAGCCAGTGACGATCACAGAGAAGAGAAAGTTTGTGTTTGATTAATAGATTAATAGATTGATTGTTTTCTACAATGAGTTTTGGAGCTACATATAAGAACAATAAAAGACCTAAAACAAAAGAATGACAAGATAAAGTGGTTTTATGGGCCAACTAAGCCCAATCGATAATCTCGGGTCTTATCAATACTCCCGCCGTGAAGAACCACCTTGTCCTCAAGGTGGAAGGTAGGGGAAGAAAACTCCCACAGTAATTAGCTTCTTGTAACCCACACCTACTATTTTTGCAAACCCAACGGCTTCAAAAGCTTTCCACGCTCTAAAAACAAGGTTATATAGCAGCTTCCCAACATTTGCTTTACCCTCCATTGGTGCAGACAATATCAAATTCAGCAAGTGAAAAACTTTTGAGTCTGACCTTGTACCCACTTCGCCAAATGCTCCCTCTGGCGGCCTCAGAGAATGGAACACCGGATAAGTAAAGATCGAAACTGAAGGATCCTCAAAAGACTCTACCCACTTGATCTGTCTTTTCCAATCCAAACCAGAGCTCAGTAGTAAGCTTCTAATCCACTTAATCAGACTGTCCACCTGAGCAACTTTAGATTTCACCCTTGAAGCTATATGTGAGTCTTTCTTTTCTTCGTTTTGCAGCAACTACGACTCTGGTGGCCTTTGCAAGTTGAACACTTCATAAATGCGACATTCAGCAAAAGGTTTTTAAAATAACCCATGTTCAACATGGAAAACATGATCCTTCCGGCAATATCCTCAATCCCGACAATGAGAAAATCATTGTTCTCAAATTTCATCTCCGCAATAATAAAATATAAGAGAAGGTTATTGCCACGAGCTAGTGGATTATCAAATTTCCAACATGAGTCTTCTCCTTTGCTTCAGTTCCCTCATTCTTCTTCTGACATCTGCTTGCTAATAATCCACTAGAACTTGGTGTAACCCATTTGACGTCGCTTAGAAACTTGAGTGTGTGGTCAGAATCATCTTCTTTTTTGATCATAGAAAAGCTTCTAGCTTCAAGTCTCCTGCGATACTCTAAAACAGAACCCACTTGGTCCTTAAGAAACAGAAAGAGATACACTCCCTCGAACATGAAGTTATTCGCTGCTCCGAAATCAATCAAAACACAACCTTATGCCCAATATAGGACCATTAACCCTGGGCCTCTTCTCTTTGTTCGAATCTGGTTTTTCTTTCTTGACCCCTAGTTCATCCTTAGTATGTTTCTCAACATCCTGCATAGACACAAGGCTCAACAGCTTTTCATGAGTGCCTGGATCATGAGATCGTTTACCCGGAACTATCTCTAATGGAGCTTCGAACCACTTAACAAGCTCTGCATTACCACCCAATCTTCTGCCCATGTCCTTACTCGCCTCTGAAAGACACACCTTGTCCTCAAGGTGTAATAACAAAAAGTTCGAGAGCCGCAGTGGTATTGGTGAGACTTCACAATTCACCAATCTCTGCACAGAAGTAAGAGAAGTATGACCATCGATTTGAAGCTCCTTTTTCCTTGCGGAATCCTTCATTGAAAGTTCATTAGACACTTCAAAATTTTCTTTCACAAACTCCCATAACCCAGTGTGGCTAAGCTTCTGAACTAGACTCAACACAAAAGCTTCTGAAGCTTGCAGCAGGTACAGACGCTTATGATCCTCCATTAAATAGCAATGCGATGTCCATACAGGCACCTGTATTCTCCATTTCGGCCCCTTATCATGCATCTTTACCTCATAACCAATAGATTCATCTTTGTTTTTGCAGGTTCTAACCTCACCTCTTTTAGTATGGCTCACTTGGGTTACCATCTGCAGTGATCTACACCCCACTTGGCAAGGCTGTACTCCACTCCAATTCTGCTTAGGACTCCCTACTTGCAAGAGTGGCAGACGTAGCTTTCTTAACTGACCTGGATCACAAGGTCGTTTACCCGAGATTTTTTTCGGTGGAGCTTCATCACTCTGACAAAGCTCTGCATCCAAACCTTCTGCACATAGTTCCCAATATTGATTTTTCTGAGCTGTACCCTCACCGAGGTTAATTCCACACCAAAAGACTTGGTTGAACCCTCGAAAATAAGCATTTCCAGATATCTCTCTTTTTGATCCAACAAACCACTCGTAATTGCTTTGTAACACCAGTGTTACTCTTATTTCCTGAAAACTGATCCTGTGATTCAACTTTGTTAGCTTAGGAACCTTTTCAGCCTTAGTATCCGTTTCATTCGCCATCAGCTTCTTGTTTAATTTGTCCCACAAAGCTTTCTCAACCCGTGTTTCACCTGGATCCCACGCACAACCAAACAAGGCAATCCGAAACAAACTACTAGTTGGTTTCTCAGTTGCACAAAACTCCAGCAAGAGTTGACCCACATCATTAAGCTTTGAGGACAACATAATGTAATCCTCCGCTATATGAACATCTTGAAAAGGTAGAATGATTCCTTGACCTTTTTCTTTTAATTTACTGATTTTTCCCAGCTCCATGAAGGTCTTAGCTTGGCCTCGTGAAGACGCAGAACATCTCACTTGTGGAGAAACCCATTTGTTTTTATCAACCCCGTGAGCTGTTCCTTGAAACCCACTCTCTACTACACTCTTCTCATCACCACCGTGATTAGGTTTCTGGCGTCACATGTCGTCATGTAAGTCCTCATGTTCCAACTCTTCTACAGCCCTAACAAATGGGTTGTGGTCCTTCAGATCTTTTTCAACACGTGAGCCTCTCAGTTCTGGCTCTGGAACGACATCCGCGACTATTTCTTGACCCAACAAGTCTTTTTGGCCTTCCACCATCATCTTTACATCATGACTACAAGAGTCTATAGGATCACGTGATTGAAACCCATAGAAAAAAAGATGAGAATCACGTTTCACGCCTGAACCACTCATCGATATGCTTTCCTTGAAGTGTGCTCTCTCCACCTTGCGTTTCTTTAAACGATCTCTAAAAACTGAGCAGCGCCTAAACAACCCGTAACACTTAAGAACTCGCACCAATTCACGACGTGGTGTGCTCTGAGTAGAGTTCTTCTTCCGAGCCTTGTGATACCGACTTTTGACATGAATCTTTCTAACTCCTAGATTTTTTCTCGCCAGAAGTGTATCAGCAAACTTGCATCTTGGAGCAACTTTGCTCACCGTTTTCTGAATCCAAGCACCCACAAACTCAAAACCCCCGTCATCATTCAACTCCATCTTTGGATTTTCTGTTGAAGAAACCACCATCGAAACTTCCTGTTTCTGACCCGCCAAATGCTCGACGAAATTCCTCACAGGTTGGTCGAAGTTTTCCATCACTTTTGGTTTCTCTGGAACTGTCTCGTGGCTTTGCTGGAACTCGAGCTCCGTCACACGTTGATGCTGCAGCTTCGTTCATTGCTTGAACATCAGTTGGAGATGCTCAAGTGTGACACCCATTTTCCCACAGTCGAGAGGCAACGATGGCTCTGATACCATTGATAAGCCTGGTGATCGGGTTATCGGAAGAATAGGATTAGAGGAGAAGAGATAGAAGAAAGAAAGGGGATAAGCCGGTGACTTATCCGGTGAAAGCCAGTGACGATCACAGAGAAGAGAAAGTTTGTGTTTGATTAATTGATTGATTACTTTTTACAATGAGTTTTGGAGCTACATATAAGAACAATAAAAGGCCTAAAACATAAAAATGACAAGATAAGTGGTTTTATGGGCCAACTAAGCCCAATCGATAATCTCAGGTCTTATATATTGATTATTTAGTATAATGGACAGTTAGACCAGCCACAGAAACTGAGTTTCTGATTTTATTTTTAAATCTTTGTATTTTATTGTTTGAAAATTTTCTAAAACAAAAAAATATAATTTAGTTAGGGTTTATGAATTTTGTCATAAATTTTTTCTGTCATAAATCGGCACATAAACTTAGTTTATGATGGAGAGAGCAGATCTTCCAAACCTGGAACCAATCATCAAATTAAAACCGAAAAATCCATTCAACAAATAGAATCAACAAAATAGAATACAGAATCAACAAAATCCATCAACAAAATGAAGAATACAGATGAACTTACACAAAAAATTACCTGTTAGAGCTATACACACATTTATAGAATCGTTTCTCAACTCTTGAGAATTTCTCATTGAAGCCAATGGGATCATCACCTTCCTCCAACGCACCAGATTCCCCTTTTAAATCTCATTCATTCTCCCTGTCCTGAAAAGCCTTGCAAAATTTCACAAATAATCCGACCTTCACAGGAGGCGTATGCTGCTTTTGAGAGTAGGGAGTTTATCTTTTCTGTCGTAAAAAATCTGTATGTCTTCTACGGTCAGAAACGAGAGAACAGATCTTCCAAGCCAGAACCAGTCATTAATATCCATTCAATAAGAGAAGGAGATGTTCGATACTATCACCATTCAAACACTAAAGGTAATCAAAAGAAATTCCAAAATCTTACCATGGAAATGTAAATGTTGCAGGTTACATTCAGGTTCGTCCATGATTTTACGGAAAGACGATGAGATATTGAAGAAACAGAAATGAACAAATCGGAAGTTGAAATCAGCGGGAAAAAGAAGATGGTCTTGATAGTAATATCTTCGATCTAAACAATATCTAAACGAGAGAAGGAGATGTTCAATACTATCACCATTCAAACACCAAAGATAATCAAAAGAAATTCCAAAATCTTATCATGGAAATGTAAATGCTGCAGGTTATATTCAGGTTCGTCCATGATTATACGGAAAGAAGATGAGATATCGAAGAAACAGAGATGAACAAATCAGAAATTGAAGTCAGCGGAAAAAGAAGATGGTCTTGATAGTAATATCTTCGATCTAAACAATAGGTTCGATTTGGTTAGGGTTAGGATTTTCCTGAGATATGTAATGGGCCAATCTGTTTTTACTATGGGATTTTGCAATCGGTCTAGAGTCCATCAAGAACAAAAACTGGAAAAGACTACATAGCGTTACAATTTTGATTTATTATAAACTTGACTAAATCGCAGAATTTTTGTATTATATTCTATTTTTATTAATTAATATTATGTTTAATTTGATAGATGTGATTTAATATTACATACATAAATGATAAATTTCCTTAGATTTTTTTTTTTTATTTCTAAAAGGTGCAATAATTTTCAGTCATTACAATTACAATGTACTAAAAATCTAATGCCAAAGTCAGCGAGAAATGAAAAATACCTTCATTGATGCGGCATGCATATATAGATCATACATCAAAAATTATTTAAGCTGGTATATATTTTCTGTTCTTAGTTCGAAATTTCGAATATCCCAAACTCATTATTAAACAATAAACACACCTTCCAAAAACAAAAGTCACGCATCAAAAGGAAAAAAAAATGAAAAAAAAAAGAGAGCACACTAAACTAAAGGAGTTATACACAAAAACACACACACACAGACCAAAAACACAGAAAAGGTAAATGATCAAACGTTTCTTTTACTCTTCTAAGAGATTGAGAATCTTCGTCTTCTTGGCTTAGTAATATCAACACCAGCAAGATCTTCATCAATGTTCGAAGTATCTTTAGACCCATGTCTAAAAGGATTCAACTTCCCAAGTTTCTTCGAAACAGAAGAGAAGAAAGTAGGTTTGTTGCTCTTCTTACTGTTCACCAACGACGATGAATTCGAAGAAGAAGCTCCTGCACCACCACCACCACTCTGTTTATTCTTCTGCAGATCAGAAACATACATCTTCATCTTCATCAGCTCACTCCTCAAAGCTTCGTTCTCTTTAGCCAACGAAGTATCAGCTTTAACCTGTCCACGTGTCGCTAAAGCCTCGGGGACCATAACCACTGCTCCTTCTTTATCTTCAACCCCGCTTCTTAGCTTTAACTGGTCGTAGTAAAGCGCGTGGAGAACGATGTTTACAGGTAATCTCTTGTTCTGCGAAGCGTGAGACGTGCGTCGTAGAAAGCTTGAGAGGATCCATTGAGCTACACACTTTCTCTCTCTCGATCTCGTCAGATTCGGATGAGCTTTCAAGAAGATGTCAATGGCTCTGTAAGATCGTCGTCTGATTTTCTAGCGGATTGGGAACGAGATTCGCGATCGCGTCGAACTCGGAGATGGTTAGCTCTCCGTAGCTAGCGATCTCTGCTAAGTAAGAATCAACTGTCTTCGAAACTCTCTGGAGAGAAACAGAGCATAATCCTCTGTTGAAATCTCCGCCGTTGAAAACTCCGACGTTTTTCTCTTTCTCGACGAAAACAGAGATGATTCTTCTGACGCTGTCGAGGTCTAGTAACCGTTCGCCGTCGTAGGTGAAAGACGGGATCAAGAGATCGTCGACGGAGACGTGCTCGAGGACGACGGAGATTCGTTTCTCGAGCTCGTTCTTGCTGGTGAGTGAGGTGTCCAAGAAGACGGCGCAACGGAGGAGAGAACAGAGGAAGTTGACAGGGAAAAGCCCTTTGTCTGAAGGTAAGAGAGTGACGATTGATTCAACGAGATCTCTCTGTTGGGATCTCTCGTCGGAGCCGTTGTTTTCGGGATCGGAATACTTGATTCCTCTGCCGGAATGGTCTCTGACGAGGTCTCTTAAGGATTTCTCGGTGTAGGTGATGATTGCAGAGGCTAAGGAAGAAGGTTTCAGGCCTCTCTGTTTCATGGAAGCTACGACGTCGGAGAAGAAGTCAACGTCTAAGATACAGAGCTCCTCTGTCCACCAATTCGGTGGTGATCGACACGGAAACATTGCCTCGTTGCAAGCCTTTTTAATACCAAAAATAAACAAAACCAAAACTTGTATCAGTTAATGTAATAAGCACTACAAAAACTCATGGAGGCAAAACTATCGATACTTGAGACTCACGGAACTGAAACAGAGTACATAGAAATAAGTGTGTTCAGTATACACAAAACACCGAAACCGAATTTTAAAAAAAAAAAATCTCTATCGTATCTGAAACTACAAGTAAGAAGATTTTATCTAATTTATAATCTAAATCCCAAAAAGGGTAATATATTCATGTTTCAAGTAGAAGAAACCACTTAAAAACAAATAAAACAATCTATTTTTTTTTCCTTTCTTAATAAAATTTGGATGTTAAACCGAAACCTAAACTAATCCCAAAATCATTTGAAAAGCCAACTATTTTTTTGCAATGTAAACGTCAACATAAACGAATACTTAGCTTTTGTCACTTAGGAAACTTAAATTTCTTTGAAAGAATTACTAGATAACGACATATAGCATAAGACCGTTCTAAATAATTAATATGAGTCTATTTTAATTACTACTGCGTAAACTGTAAAGACTGAAACAAAGAAAAAGAAAAACTAAATACTAACCAAAATCGAGATCTAAAACTTAGAAAGTATAAGTGAGAATGAGTTATTAAAAACCTTAGCACCGACGACGTCAACGCAACGGCGAACAATACCAAGATCACGAGAAATAGGAAGGAGAATCTCGCAAGACTTGAGGACGACGATGGCTCCGGAGAGGCTAGAGAGAGCGACCTGAGAAAGAAAATCTTGAGTCCGACCAGCGAGGTTGTTGTCGCAGTACTTATCGGTCATCTGAAGAAACTCGGCGGCGCAATGAAGAGCCGCCACGTTCTGCACGGTAATCTCGAAGTTAACACCGTAACAGAATTTAGCAGCTTTCTCGAACATCTCTGGACCTCCGGGGATATCCGAGAGATCAATTCTCGTCACGTCGCTATCTTTGGATTCCATTATTAGCTTCCTTATGTAGTTACTCTTCGCCACTAGCATGAACTACATGAGATCAAGAAATGAATAATAAAACTTCTTGAAATTAATCATAATGGAATATGTAACTTAATGGTTTGTATATACAATTATAGACCACCAAGAAAGAAATAAACCATTTTGTTTTTATATTAAAAATGATGTGAATCAAGAACCAAGATTTGTTGTTAACTACCTTATGAAGAGAGAAATTGGCTTCTCCGACTTCAACTACTACATCGGTTGGAATATCTTGTGAGAAAACCCTGCATTAATACAAATATACATGTTAGAATTTAAAGTGATTAGGGATAAGCCGGCCGGGAAAGTTCTCCGGCGAGTATAGAGGTGAAACTAGACCGGTTCGTACCATTGACCGGTTCTCTGAAGAGATGAAGACATTGTGTTCATGTTGATGGGGTTTTTTCCTTCTGTCGCCATTTTTATTGGTTGTGAAGTGAAGGAGACGATAGAGGCATAGTTGTAGAGTGTCTATATATTGAAAATTATTTAACGTGGGTCCATTCAATCCACCCATTTGCTATGAAAATATGTACGTTTGGTTTCTTCTGTCTTCATTTCTTTTCTAATGTTTTTATTTGTCGTTTTGTTATGTTGTTCATAATTATCTCTTTTAGTTAACCCACTCACTCTAATCTTTGTGTTGGTCTTCATCGTTTACTTTCCTTTTTCACCATTTTTTTCTTTTAACTTTTCCATATTTGGATATATTCTTGAATTGACCGCTGTTTTAGGTAATAGCTAAAGATCCCTTGGTAATATTAATGGTTGTAGGTAACATGTAACACCTTTTCTGTAGTTAGTTTTATGAAATTTTATCTTTGAATATTTAACCTACTATTAAATGTCACTTTTTACAACATGCTTCATGCTTGGTACGTAGATGTTTACTAGTTACTACAACTATTTGCAGCGATATTTGTTACTTACTAATTTAGCTACCTAATTACTTGCATTAGAATAATAACTACTGTTTTACTCGTAAATGTTAGGGTGATATGCATGATTTAAAACATTGAAAACCACAAAACATGCAGATTAATAGTAATAGATCATATACTCGTAATATAAAACGAGGGACATGAGAGATATATTGTCAGAAGAAAGCTGTTATGAGTAAGCAATCTCATGGCAACTGAAGATAAAAGTCAGGACAAAATGTGGCAGACGAATAAACGAATAGATCCAGTGATACGTTTAATTATCATATAAATTCAGTATTAACCAATGTTTTGTCCAAAAAACGAGCCAATCGATCGTCCTCTAACATAATATCCGATAACATTCATTCGATTGTTGGCACAAATTGGTAGAGTGAATCGGTCAAGGATAACAAAAATCACAATCTTACTTTTGGTTTGGTTTATGAGACAGTGATATGAATATAAAGGTTTCACATGTTAAAAGCCTAAAAATTCTGAATTAAAGGAAGGAAATGCTGAATATAGAAGAAAAAGCAGTGCATGTGAATCATTGACAGATAAGAAAATCTTCAAAATATATATATATATATATATATAATTGAAAAAAAAAAAAGTGGATGTACGAGTAGAGAGATGTGGGAGCCATGGAAGTTAGGAAAAGTAGGAACATGTCATGGATTGGCCCAGTCCAAATATGTGGTGATCCTTCTTTCTTAAACCTCGTGGTCTCTGGCTTCGCTACGTCAACAAATCATCCCTCAGAATCCAATTTCGATTTTTTAATCAAATCATTAGCATACACGTGTCCCTATCGCCTCTTAGATATCTCACGTCTCTCTACATTGCCTAGTTGCCCAAATAATTTGTTCTGCCGGTGAGACTAGTTTTTAGACTATTTTGTAGTTTGAATTTGAAGATTATACTATGGGTCTACATACAAAGTTCAAAGATTATTCAGTAAAAAAAAAAAGACTCTTTAGTAATTCTTACATCAAAAACCTCTATTTTTCTTCTATGCAATTGGTTTTGATCCAAACACAATATATATAGTACTAACGCAAGTATTACAATGTTCATGATAGTTTTAATCGGTTCATCTCACACAATAATTGATTCTAAGATAAGTAATAATATTTGGACCATCCAACTAATAATCTGGTAAAATATAATACTATGTTAAGTTTCATGGACAGTTATCCTCCAAGTCATGTGTAGATGCATGATATAAACATATAAATTCATTAGTTTAGAGAAAATGATTATTCAAACTGTTAAGGTGCTAAGCCAAGTCTTGGTATAATATAAACTCTAAATTATCGGGATGAAGCATTCATGTTTGGAAATATATAATTAAGTTGGACCATAGAGGATGGTGCTATCATCATCTATTAACAAAAGTACAAACGCCCTGAGCTGTAATGCCGTCTAGTTTCAATCAACAAATTTTGACAATATTAGTTAACATCTAAGGATTGACACTTCGGATAATTCGGTTATATTTTGGTTTATTTCAATATACACAAAAGTATTTGAGCTTAGCTAGAACAAATTTTCATATCTGTTTATGGATATGTCCAAATTTTCGAATTTTCGAAACGATTTGAACATATTATAGATGGGATTCATGATTCTGATACTAAAGATTTTAATTTACGGGTGGGGCTGTGTAATAATGAACAACGATCCCGACCTCTCAGTGGCCAAACCGACGACGAGACATTTAACAAAACAAAGCCGAAGAAAAAGATGTAACAAGAAAACAAACTGAAAACCACAAAAGAACAATTTGGGCCAAAGTTGGTTATTTGTCAAAAAGGCCCAATGTCTACGTCAATTTCCCTAATCACGCTTCATCTAATGTCGTCTTCTTAAGAAACGCCAGACGAGTTTAGAACATCTCGCTTTCATTTTGAGTAATCTCTTATCCGTTATCTATGGTTGGGGGAGTTGCATAAATGTGGATAGAGTCAACGCTATGAAACTGTCACTCGAAACTCGCTTGATGTAGTTGACCAAAAGATCCAAGAAAGAAATAATCAAACACACGAGATTTTCTTTTAATATAATGCTTTGACCGAGAAACATACACTAGTTATTGCAAAGCCAATTTGATGCAACGCCACGAAGCCCAACAATAGTCATGCACACAAACAATTGACTCAAATTTCTCTTCTCGTGTGTGACTGTGAGAGTTGTGGCATGTGGATCCTTTTATGGTAACATGCATGCTATAAATTAGCAGCATCCATGAATTGTTTCCATTACAGAAAAATTAAGATTTATTTTCTATCTGAAATATGTGACTGACTCTCTATAAATGGATCAAATCTACAAATCAAACAGGATGATTATCCATCACCATATGGCTACACCGCGATAATATTGATGGTTTATTTATTGTTTAGAATTTTTGAGGTTAAAATATAAAATGTTTTTTAGGTTAAATGTTTAACATTGAAATTTTTTCATTGATTAATGATTTAGTTTTTGTCTCTATATTTTTTTTAGATTTCGAAAGATTTCAACAAATATAAAAAGTTTGATGTAGCCTGAATTTTTATAAATAGTATTCATAAACAAATAATTTTACGAGTATCCTAATTTTTTAGATATATTTTTAGAATCAAATTTTTTACTATGTATTATCCGTTAAAGCTTCGTCTACATGAAAGATCTTTGGTTAAGATGTGAGAACATGACTTGGATGAAGGCCAACTGTCCATAAAACTTAACCGGTGTCATGTGTAGATGATAGAATTAACCTAGATATCAACCAGCTGATCCAAATTTAGTCTCTACTGTATAAGAACAAAACCACTATTTATACTTTGTACGGTGTCATGTGAATCCGTAAAGTTGAACGTGGGTTCGCTACTGTGTAAGAATACTTTGGTTTGTGTCGGTTCAGGTAACCAAGTTGATGGGAGAGTAAATTGATAGTATGATTTGTGATTTGTGATTTGTCATTATTGTGGCTTATTAACTCACATAATATCGTGATTATCTTATTCATCGAGAAATCACATTCAAAATCTGCTTAACACATTCTGTTGTTTCGGGTGTTCTCCTCAAATTTGTGATTTCTTTCTTTTGGTTATCACCTTCTTCTAGTTTGATTTGAGGTAATTCACAACACATGATTTGATCATGAGAAATGATTTCATTAAGTTTTTTTTTTTTGTAACAAATTTCATGTAAGTTCTTGACGTCAAGAACGTCAAGATTTCATGTAAGTTCTTGACGCTTATTCATCGTTAAGCAAACGAGTGTGTGTGTTCATTGATTAATTTGTTGTAGATATTAGGTATTAGGAACTTTAGGTAAACTAGAAATTTGTAGGTGACAAACATGTGCCTTACTGTTGTTAAATCCCGATTAAACAGAATTTGTAAGCTGGCTCAAAATAATTTAATGAAAAAACAATCAATGTCTAATTTAAGGGGAGTCCGGTTCAATAGAATCGCGGAAAACGAAAGATTCAAATAAACCGGAATTAAACTCTGTACCCGTTGACGATTGGAATTTGATAGCACATTTGCGTTGACGACACCAAAATTGAAAAATTTGACATCACATTTGGGACGAGATCCAAAGAGAAGCTCACAGGAAAACCCTAGATTGATCCACAAAATCAGAGACTGTGGTTGAGCGTGAGAGAAGTTGATGAAGGGTATTTAAGATATTCAGATATCAGATTTTGAGGGACTCAAAGATCTAAATTATGGAGACGGATAGAGATAAGGAAAGGATGATGTCGAGGAACTCTTATTCGTCTTCCTCGTCATTTCCGCCTTCGGCTTCATCTTCTGCTGCATCATCTCTCGCTGCGAAAGCAATTCGAGCATCTTCTGCGCATAGAGACTCTTCTCTTTCCTCTGCCTACTCGTCTCCTTCTTCTGCTCCTGCTCCCACTCCTCCCAAGGTTTCGCCTTTTTGTTTTTCCTTTCTCTCTTTCTCGTGTTTCCTCGATTCGCTTAATTGCTCGTTTAGTCTGTATTAGAAGTAGGAATGATTCATGGGTTTTGCTTCAATTGAAATGCCTCGCTGTTGAATAGGAAGTGAAGCACCATGAGTACACCTCTATGAAAAGCTTGAACGAACCGAAACGAAGCTTTTGGGGAAGTCTAGCTAGTAAAGCAAAGGCTCTTTTGGATGATGAGGATGATGATCCTCATCATCAACCCCCTCAAAGTCCTAGGAAGATGGAGCAGAACTTGCCTTCTTCGACTTCAGAGACTAAGGTTTATGAAAGTTTCATCTACACTGTTGTGTTTTGGTCCTCTAATTCTCTTGTTCTTATGGAGTTGTATAATTCATTTCCATGTTTCAGGAAGCTGGTCAGACGGGTAGGAAAACGGAGATTCCTTCATTACAGAGACGCTTAGACGCAATCACTTCATCATTAAATTACATTGGTGGCACCATTGGTACTGTAGTTGAGGTTAGATTCTTTCTCTTTATGCACCCTTTTATGGCACTTCAAGAGACTTTAGGTTATGCGAGTTCTCACACTTTTTGTGTATAAAGAAGCATATGCATACTTGTGTGTTTTGATGCAATCTTCTGCACTTGCATTAAATGAGAGTTTATTGAACTGAGATTGTTGTTTGCCTGTGAAACTTCCTTAGGGGGGTATTACAGCTGTGGAGAATCGTACTGCAGGGATCATTCAAGAAACCCGTAAAAAGATTAAAAAGAAGCCAAGCCTTACGCGTAACCAGCAGAATCCTGAGATCCAAGCAGATTTGGAAATTCAACTAAAGGCATCTCGCGACGTAAGGTGGCCGCTCTGTATCATTTAATTGGCTGACCAGCAGCAACTGATTATGGAAAATTTTCGAGTTATGCACTTCGGTGTTAAAATCCAGATATTAATACTCAAACTAACTACAATGTTATCTCAACAGGTTGCAATGGCCATGGCTGCCAAGTCAAAGCTTCTTCTTCGGGAGCTGAAGATGGTAAAATCTGATTTAGCCTTTGCAAAGCAGCGATGCGCTCAACTGGAAGAGGAAAATAAGGTTCTGAGGGAGAATCGTAATGGTGGTAACAGCCAAACGGATGATGATGATCTGGTATGGATTCCTTTTTACTCTTTACAAAGCCTTAACGTTTTCACATTTTATGCACATTTCTGATCTTTGGTTGTGTATTTTTCTTTCTTTCCTCTAATAGGTGCGACTTCAGCTTGAAACATTATTGGCTGAGAAGGCTCGTTTGGCTCACGAGAACTCGATATACACTCGCGAAAACCTCTATCTGAGAGGAGTTGTGGAATATCATCAGCTCACGATGCAGGATGTGGTCTACTTTGATGAGAAGACTGAAGAAGTAAGTGAGGTTTATCCTATTAATGTTACTTCAATGTCTTCTTCATCAGATATCTCGAAAACTCCTCAAAACCCAAAAGTCTTGGAGTTCAAGTGAGACACTACAAGTCTCAGTTTATTCTGTTGTTGTAGTGAATCAGACAACAAGTCAAATCGTTGTCTGTAATCGCTCTGTATCTGTAGAAATATATGTACTTTTGTATTCTCTTCTTTTTGGGAATTTAGCAATGAATGTTAATTTATTACCCTTAATTATTTCAAATAAAAAAAATGTTCATTGATTCCCCTGAAATGTTACCATAAAGGCTAAAATTACAAACTGGTTGTATAAATTAGTCAATTATTGTAGGATCTTTGATGAGATTACAAAACGAACAGTATTTATAAAGCTACATTACAAAGGTTGCATTAGGCTAAAACCATTGTGTTTTGTTTTTTTTTTGGTTGTTTCTTATTGAAATACAAATTCTTAGGTTTAGAAAGTTAGAACACCTTATTTAACATAGATTGGCCTGAAATGGCTTAACCAGTGGAACCAGCGAGCCGCTTAGGTGCATCGACATGACTTCATTGGTCGAACCAACGAGCTTACCGCCCACAAAGATGGCTGGGACCGGCGTGGAACACCCGAGCCTCATTAGGGCTTTCTCGATCTCACGACAATCAGGGTCTTTATCGATCTCATGGACGGTTGGGTGAACCCCAAGGTCTTGGAAGAGGACTTGGACTGCATAAGACAGGCAACACGAGCTCTTGCTGAATATAACCACTCCTTTCTCTGATGACATTCTCACAACTTTGTCCATGGCTTCTTGAAGGAAGTAGTCTCAATCAATCTAGCTAGGGCTTGTTTCTTGAAGAAGGAGAAACAAAATCTTCCTTTGTTTCTCCCTAGTATAGCTCTGTGTTGCCTGAGACTTGAGTTCTTGAATTGTAGGCTATTTATAACCAAACAAAGGAAGAAGAAAAGAATGTTGAGACCACAAAAGAGAGAAAGAGATCACATAAGATCGTCCCAAAAGGTTCCCCAAGTTCATCAAAGTGACTTTATTGTGAACCAAATTAACAAAAGTTGCATTATCATAATTAACCTACCCATTTTGTCCTCCTAGATACCAAAATGAGCATGTTGATTGAACAGGACCATATGCTTGTTTGTTGCAGATATGCTAAAGAATATGGCACATGTTTATATTTATTTACAAGAACTTTTATGCATGAGAATTAGAATTTTATGTTTTATGTGGACCAAGCTTCCACTTTTTCTCTTGAAGTATTTTGTTTCAAGAATCATGCTCAGATGAAGGGTGTGAGATAGCTCAATGTGGTGGCGAATAATCCAAGAGATATGCTTATATTCTTCTCTGGATTGACGGTATTTTTGGCAGCCACGAAAAGAGATCAGGCTGGTTTTGATGGATATGTTCGTGTATGTGTGTCAACAGTAAAAACCCTATTCTTGAAACATGTCACTGTACAATAAGATATGATTTGTCTTTGTGAGATTCTCTCAATCTCACTTCAGTACAGATCATGAAGGAATAAAAATCCTATGGGCTTCTCTTGTGTGCCATTTCACTTTCAACAATTTGCCTATATATTCTTGCTTTCCCTCTTGACTCATTTGATTAAAGTTGATCAATGAATCTGTTAGGAATCTTACATCGTAACTAAGATAGTATGTTAAGAGGCTTATTGCTAATTAGCTTTAAATTGAAATTACATGAAAATTCTGTTTGAAGAGAGTATATAACATATGTGACTGTCACTAGAGTGCGATTCGATTGGTGATGGACCAGAAAAACCATCATCTCAAAGAAATCAATCAGTTTTGAGTTAAAATATCATTAAACTCAACAAAAATATGTTTTTTTCCTCCTTATATTAATATGGCCATTTTGAATATCAATCGAACGGTATATGTGTCCTTATTACTTTGATGTTAATTTTTTCAGAATATTATTATGAGCTCAAAAAGCTAGGACGTCTACAAAAAGTTTGAGCCTGTTAGCTTTTTGGACATTTTATGGCACATTGTCGATTTATTTCAGTTCTTTCAGCTTAGATTTTCACTCTATATTGCTCTAATAGGTGGGTTTTTGTCCGAAGACTAATGATTTCTTCAAGCCGTCATGTAACTAAAATAAGGTTCTAAACCCAAAAACAACATGTGAGATGGATCATGTTGTAAGATATTATGATATATCGGATTAAAATAAGGTTCCATTAGACAAGAGTGGTAAAATTTTCCACACTACTATATCCACTACAAAATTTTGACCGTACGATCAAAGACTTACCTTTTAGAGAACTTTCTTTTTATATAGACTAAAGTATATGATTGAAAAAGGTGAATGGATAAATGTTATGTGGTCATCTCACAACGTAATTTTTAAGAAGTGGGTAGAGAGGATGGTGATGTGAACAGCCGATCCTACGGTAAACATCTTTGACTAAAACATGTCTCTTTTCCTTTCACATTTCTTTTCTTATCATTGCTTACCCACACCCTCTTCTAAATTACGTTTTGTTACATTTTTGAATATTCAATTTGTGTATTAAGTTACTCTATTTCTCCGAAGTTTCAATAAAACTGATATTTGTATGTATATTTTACTTGCGTGTTTGTGTTTATGGCCGTGTTTCATATAGACAAGGTTTTAGTAGGGTTTTCAAAAATGTGTTATCTAGCTTTTAAGAAAAAGTAAAACATTAATGACTTATATATATATCAAAAAGACTTCAAAAGATAATGAATTTTAAATTGAAACAAGAATGTTAAAAGATAAAATGATATGCATTGTCTCAATTCTATGAGCAAAGTGAGAAGAAAAATGAACGTGTAACTTTCTAGCAAGAGACATAGTACTAATGACTTATACGATCATATATATATATATATAATATTATAAATTAATACCAATAAAAACAAATGGGTTGATATTGAAACTTAATTAAATAATACGATCATATATATAGTTCATTTGATTTATGACATTTATATAATACTCCTTTAGAAAAGGAATATAAAATATGTGTGAGTTTGGATGTCACGATACAAAATCTCTACAAAAGCGTGTACTCTATCGAATAACACTCAGTCACCTAATACTATTATTTTCTGATTCTGATTTGTACTAATGCACTTATTAGTAATATATAATAAATATAATTACAAATTGAGATTTGAGAGGTATTTTGGTTATTGGGTTCTCAGATAGTCAGATACTCAGATGAACCACCAACAAATACATGTTGAGTTGTATCTTTCAACACGATCTCTCTCAAAATATACTCCTTTATTAGTTAATTAATACTAATTTACTAAATCGTATGTCCAACTATTTTAAAGATGAAACATAAGAGTAAGTTGTGACGTAGGAAGGACACCTCATTCCAGAAGAATGTGATGAGATTGAGCTGTAAGATATGGTCGTGGTCAACTATTCATATGCATTTTAGGTCATTTGTTAAAGACCATTAAAATTTAAAGTCTATAATAATTTAACGATCTTTTCTTTTAACTATTAGCATCTAGATATAGATTCACGTTTGAATTTTTTTTACAGCAAATTTACATGGAGTTTGGGTATATATATATATATATATTGTAATATATTATGACAGAATGTTGTTATTTGAATCTTAAACGCCTTTGTTCTGTGTTGTCACAATGCCGTTGGTGCTGACTTAAGATGGGTTGAGTCATTCTTTAACCTCTTTTGTTCTTTTGACGGCAAGTTGAATAGTTTAAAACCTTTTGTCGTATAATAAATTTAACCCAACTTGAGTTTAAATACTGAAACAATGTAAAGGTCGTCGCTATCTTTATAGAAGTGAAATAGAAAATTAAACGGTTTACTGTTTATACCATTCGATTCATAAGAATTAAAAAAGATATGATGTGTCTTCATTAAGTTAGTACATTATACATCGTTTTTAGAATTAAAATCTAAGTAGCATATTCGCTCAATATTAGAACTCTCTCTCTATTTCTGATGGGCGTTAAACTTATCTTAATGACTTTATTTATCATGGTACTCACATTTTTTAAATAATTTATAACGAAGTGCAAGAATCCTGAATATAGTAATGTTCCAAATCTTAAAACGAATTGAACTACTTAATGGTCGAACATACAATATTAAGCCACGTCGTCCGGTCCCCAGCTGTCCAGTGTGCACCTACATTTGAAACCATTCTTCAATACACTTATCTCGTGTTTTACGTGAGTATAATTTTAAAACACATTCTATAAAATGAAACAATTATTGTGTTATTTACTAGTATTTGTATTCAGTTGTGTGTTCTCTACTTCTCTTTAAGAAAGATAATTAGTACACGTTAATCTCAAAAATCAAATACATCAAACGACACGGACACATAAAATTTTGTCATTATAACTACGATAATTCCAAAAGTTTAACTAGTTTTTTAATAAACAGTACCAATTGGACGACAATGTTTAAATTTTCATACAATTTAGTGACTTTTTCCCGTACACTTCAAAAAATAAAAATACATTAGTTGCGCGCGCAAACTTAAAATTAGGTTATAACTTATAACCATGGTAGATATATCCTCGATCCTCAATCCTCAGATCCCAAATGCCTGCTTATTGCCTTTTAATCATTATGCGTTGACACTTTAAAACTCCCAATTTACTTTTTCGGAAAACAAGCCAAAAAAACATAAAAAATACTACTAGTAGTACTATTAATTATAATGCATATGATCATACCTTATCAAGACGATATAAAGTGTTTATATTATCGAGGGCTAATTCTTTATAGCATGTAACCAATCCCATTTATGTGTAGAAAAAAATAACACGTTTTAAATATTTTTTTTAATGATGCGTATATATAAAGGCTGGTTCAAACATTTTAATTGGGTAATCAAGCTCTGCAGCTTCTCAACAATGGCGACCATTCCTTCTCACAACCTTTTTACGATTAACCAGAAGAAGAATTCCATAACCGGTCACTCTTCTTCTTCTTCTTCTTCTTCTTCTTCTTCTTCGTTCAATACCAGCTTCTCTGAAACTTCGTTTATCGATCTCCCGCCGAGAAGATTCCGAGCAGCTACGAGAGCTTTGTCCAGAACCAACGAGGCTTCTTTATCCGCCGTGATTTCGAGGCTCGAGCGAGAAAACCACGGATTAATCGAAGAAACCGAAGGAATCGGAGAAGAGTGGATTACGGCGGAGGATTTTCGCCGCCGCGATAAGAAAGCCGAGGAAGAGAGAAGGCTAAGAGACACGTGGCGTAAGATCCAAGGAGAAGACGATTGGGCCGGGTTAATCGATCCAATGGACCCGGTTCTTAGATCGGAGCTGATCCGTTACGGCGAAATGGCTCAGGCCTGTTACGACGCCTTCGATTTCGATCCTTCCTCGAGATACTGCGGCAGCTCCAGATTCTCCCGCCACGATTTCTTCGATTCGCTCGGAATATTCGATTCCGGCTACGAGGTGGCGCGTTACCTCTACGCGACGTCGAACATAAACCTCCCGAACTTCTTCTCGAAATCGAGATGGTCAAAGGTTTGGAGCAAAAACGCTAATTGGATGGGATACGTCGCGGTTTCCGACGACGAAGCCACGCGTAACCGCCTCGGCCGCCGAGATATCGCGATCGCGTGGAGAGGAACCGTCACGCGGCTCGAGTGGATCGCGGATCTCAAGGATTATTTGAAACCGGTATCCGGTAACAATCTCCGGTGCCCCGACCCGGCCGTTAAAGTCGAATCCGGGTTTCTAGATCTGTACACGGATAAGGACACGACCTGCAGATTCGCGAGATTCTCGGCGCGTGAGCAGATCTTAGCGGAGGTGAAGCGTCTCGTGGAGAAATACGGCGACGACGAAGACGAGGAGCTGAGCATCACCGTGACGGGACATAGTCTCGGCGGCGCGTTGGCGATTTTGAGCGCGTACGACGTGGCGGAGATGGGATTGAATCGGAGTCGGAGCGGGAAGGTGATTCCGGTGACGGTGTTGACTTACGGAGGGCCGCGCGTGGGGAATTTGAGGTTTAAGGAGAGGATTGAGGAGCTTGGAGTGAAGGTGATGAGAGTGGTGAACGTGCACGACGTCGTTCCGAAATCGCCGGGACTGTTTTTGAACGAGAGTGTGCCTCACGCGCTGATGAAGATCGCGGAGGGCTTGCCGTGGTGTTACTGCCACGTGGGGGAGGAGCTGGCGTTGGATCACCAGAACTCGCCGTTCCTTAAATCCTCCGTCGATCTTTCTAACGCTCATAACCTTGAGGCTATGCTCCATCTCCTTGACGGGTCAGTGTCCTCTAATTCTTTTTTTTTTTTTCTTAAAGACGATATTTAGTTCGTTATTCATGCAATATTTTCATAGTTTTTTTTTCTTGGTGTAGCCATGCAACCAAGAATATTTGTAAAATTTGGAAAGCAAAATTACAATTGGCAAAATAATTAGGGTGTCCAAATTTCGATCTAGCTAGGATTACAGATTTATTTTGAGGAAAAAAAAACGAAGAGAAGAAGATGAACTAGAGGCCGACAAAAACAAAAAATTGATTTGATTTAGATGGTGGGACTTTGCAAAACTAAGAGCATGTTCAATGCAGATGCTTAGGAAGAGTGCTTAGATAATTTTAAAAAAAAATTAAATCGTAAATAAAATAATTTAAACATTAATGCTTAAATAAGAGTTGTAAACAGCGATGCTTAACAGATACATATGTTATAAAATGAAGATAATTTTAAATTTAATAATTAAAGAATATTTAAGTATCCCTTTAGAGTTGTTACCATTGAACATGGTCTAATAAATTTATAATTAACTTAAGAAAAGTCGTATAGATTTTGTTGTATTTTTATTTCCACTAAAAGTTGAAAACGACAAAATTAAAGCCGTGGGATATATAGATTGGACAAAGATATATAAAATTCTGTTTTTGATAATTCGATACTCACATAAATAAAATATTTGAGAAGATCAAACAAGTTTGAATATTATATTACGATTTCTGGATTACGTATATTATTGCTGGACTTGCGATATATGAATATGATTGACCCGAGTATCGCGTGAATGTCCGGTTTAGTGATATGCAATTGTATAATACCCATGTTTGCTTTGCATGCATATATTAAATACAAAGGCTATATACATAGTAGTAATGAACTAACGTAAAGATAATTGTACAGGTATCATGGGAAAGGGGAGAGATTTGTGCTGTCTAGTGGGAGAGACCCAGCGTTAGTGAACAAAGCATCGGATTTTCTAAAAGAACACTTTATGGTTCCACCGTTTTGGCGACAAGACGCGAACAAAGGAATGGTGAGGAACAGTGAAGGTCGTTGGATTCAAGCCGAGCGTCTTCGTTCTGAGGATCATCATTCTCCTGATATCCACCATTATCTCTCTCTGCTCCGTCTTCTCCCTTCTTCTTAATTAATCCCACATTTCTTTATATACAAATCCCATTTTCCTTTGTAAATTTCATCACATCCATGTTTTTTGGAAATAAAATGTTTGCATTCACCACACTTGCACGCATAAGCATATACCATTACATCTTTGAAATGCATATGAACGTGCTTATATATATAATACAGACAACACACAAGACATCATGCTGGTCCAGTGGTTTAAGAATTCATCATGCATGTTGGTCAAATTCAGCTAGAAATCGAATCCAGTTCACTGCGTTTTATGTTGATCATTGTAAATGTTCAAGTGGGAATTAAGACAAACTCAGTTTCAGATTGGTATCAATTTTCAGTCCAAGTTTTGATTCAAAAAAAAAATATTGCTATATTTTCATGTCCATTCAAATTGATTACAATCTTTTATGTTTTATATAATTGTATATTGAGATTATTTGAATACATTTGAAAGGTGCTTATATATATTTACACAAAACACAAGACAAGCAAATATGCACTAAGCTGGTTAGATAAAGACATAAAAATGGTGAACGAGTTGAGTTTCCGTATATATAGTAAGATCAGTCTATATCTCCAGCGTTTGAATGTCCAAAATCAATATGGTTATTATGGTAGTCAGATTTAATTAAGTTTATTGATGTATTAGTTGATCTTCCGAGGCTGACTCTTTTTTAAGGGGGTGTTATTCAATCATAAATTTAAAATGAATTTTCTATGTTTTATAATCTTTTAGATTTAAAAATTGATATCAGTTTGATGGATTCATTTGTTTAGATTCTAAAATCTCTGCAATATACACTGGATTTTGATTCTAATAATTTACTCATAAAACTCTATTAAAATTGATTTGAAATGACTTAATGTACAAAGATTTTAAAAATTATTTAGTTTTGAATAACACTGGATTTTAATGAAAGATTTGAAATCTTTATTAAATAACACCAAACTTTAAAACCTCTTAAATATGATTTACAATCAAAAGAACCAATAACACTTGATTTTAAAACATTATTTAGAATCATTAGTTGAATAATAGTGGATTATGGTTGGATTTAAATTCTATTAAAAACCGTGATTGAATAACACCCCTTAAATTCTTTTTCCTTTACGAGTAGATACTACTTACGTTTACGAGGCTAATGGGTTGGTTCAATCGATTCATAATGCAACGACTATAATAAATTGTAGTATTGGGAAAGGACTGCTTTTGAGTCTTTGACCGTCCCATTTGAAAATTTAACCTATTATAAATACCCCAGCCTTCCACTCTCGTTTCTCATTCCCACAAATCTTAGAAATCACGTAAGACACTTAACTAAGAATTTAAGAATGGGAGGAAAAGGTGGCAGCGGTGGAGGTGGAAAGGGCGGTGGTGGTGGCGAAGCGGTGGAGGAGGAAGGAGCGGTGGTGGTGGTGGCGGTGGAGGAGGGAAAGGCGGCGGTGGTGGAGGGGGAGGAGGAGGGAAAAGTGGTGGCGGTGGAGGAGGAGGGAAAAGTGGTGGCGGTGGAGGAGGAGGAGGCTACATGGTAGCTCCGGGGAGCAATGGATCTTCTTACATTTCAAGAGATAACTTTGAGAGTGACCCTAAAGGTTACTTTGATAATCTGCATGGTAGCAAGTGAATCATGTCTCTGTTTTTAAATTGTATGCGTTGAAGATCCTTATTGTACTACCAAATATATTATCTAATAACGATCAAATAAAAATCAGCCTATTTACCTTATTCTTCTTCAATCCTCCGTTTTTAATTGTATGGTCCCTTTCTTGAATTTGGATATTAGTGTTACTTAATGAATTACGTACTTCAACCCAAAAGAAAAACCATTTACAAATCAATATACTTATCAAATCAATATTGTTATAAGTTCATCCTCCAAAAGTAAATTGCTTTCAAGAGACACTGCTACTCTTGATGTTCTTCGTTTCAATGACTCAAAACAACAATATAATCTTAACTCTTACGGCTATACAACTAATCCATTTCAGTGGTCTGGTTTTGTTGAAATTTTAATTATGTTTAATCATCATCATCTACGAGTCTACGAGGGAGTGTTGCCCAAAAAAAGAGATGTACACAGGAAAATAGTCTTTTTAATCTTTACTTCAAATTACAAGAAACCAGAAGAACATTGGTGATTCATTGTCCTCACATGAACATGGAAACGGAGAAAGATGAACACTGAAGCTAAAAGAGGACATATATAGTTCAATGTTTTAGAGTGAAAGACCAGATTCTTCATCCTCCTCGAGAGAAGAAGTGTAGACAAAGTAGAAAGTCCAGATCAAACCAAACACTCCAAAAAGAATCCAACCCAAGAGGTTGTTGCTAAGCCCAAAAGGCAATCCTGTTCCTTCCGTTGACATCCTGTCATCCACCAAAGCCATCGCCGGGTTACTCATCACAGCCGTCAAAGCCGCCGTTGCCGCCGCTGAAACTCCAGCTCCCACGACTGAGACGTTTTCTTGCTTTTTCTCCATCGAGCATCTCACTCCTCCCTTCCTCTTACTCATTGGAGGCAAACCTGAGCAATAATAATAATAATAATCAAATTCCACAACTCTAAAGCAATGAGTTCCATATTCGTTTCTTTACTTCTTGTTGATTCATACATAGCCAGACTAAGCAACCATAGATCTTCACTTTGTACATAACCGGATTGAGTTTCTAGTACAAGATGAGATCTGAGAAAGAAAGTAAGAAGAAGAAAAAGAAGAAAAGAGAAGGACTTTACCAAGAACAGGTGTGGATACTGCAACGGTGGGCTTGAGAAGAAGAGCTGGACGAGCGACGGAGATGGTGGAAGCAGAGGCAGTGAAGCTAGCCATTTCTCTCTTCTTTTGCTTCCACAACTACAAACTCTCTTCAATTTGAGTTTTTGTTTTCTTTTTTTTGTTTGTTCTCTCTTGTGTTCTATAGCAACAACACAACCTTTAATTTCTTTGCTTGCGACTAAATCAGTGGTGGAAAAAATCTATCAGAATCAACACAAGCCATCCAACTTGGATATGATTCTATCCATACTCCACCAATAGCTTCCATCCACGTGTCATATTTCATCTCTTTCCCTCCAACACAATCTTTTTCTCTCTTCTCAAATGGTGGATTATAAATTTATTAAATAAACCAAAACGGAGGTCAAGACAATGAACAAAACTCTCTGTTTCTTTTAACTGAAAGCTCTTGAGAAAAATTGGTGTGGTGTATTCAAAAAATAACAAAAGATTTACACAAGAGATATCGTAAAAAAGAATGAAGCTAATTATAACAATGACAAAGAAGAAAAGAATCGAATTGAACCTAAAGCTTTGTGGAATTTTGTTTTGTGAAAAAAAGAATCAATCGTGAATGTTGCACCGTTGTAAGTATGGGTGATGGTAAGCTACATGTATGTTCCAGTACCGTTTGTATTTGTCTATCCCGATATCAAGCCACGGTTTCATGATCCCGTCGTAGTGTATAACCGCTGCTTGTTCGATGTCGCTTGCTTTGACTCCTGATTCGTGACCTAACCCAACCACATTCCATCTCTTCTCCAATGGTAACATTTGCCCCAAGAAAGTCAACCAACCTATTGGCAAGCTCCCTGCTTTCCACAGATTTCTTTTTACTCCCTGCAACCAAAAATATTTCAAAAACCAACACATATACGTGTATGTAAGATGCGAGAGGACTAAAAAGAGAATGAAATGTGTTATTACCAGGTCGAAGTATTTCAGGTATACAGATGTCAAGTCTTGTCTTCTCCATTCTGCAAGGTCGAATAGATTCATCCCGAATGCCCAAGTGCAAGCCTTGGGATCAAGTCTCTGAGCAACCCATGCATCTGAGAAATTTATGAATGTGTCCATCGAATGAAATGAAGGTTCATTTTCGAGACAAGTCTCTACAGCTCCTACAACTTTCCCCTTCATATCAAGGCTCCACAGTCTGCTAAGGTCTCTCTGAACAACTACATCATGGTCGAATAATACGATCTTGTTCAGACCTGGGAAAATATCTGGGAGATAGAACCGTGCATGGTTGAGAGATGAAATGAGTCGTGGGTCACTTGAATTTTGCTTCATCAGCAACTGAGCATGGTCCAAAGGCAGGACATTCATGTCATCAACGTTTAGGATTTGGACTGTAGCTCTGCTGTCTGGGTTTAATATAAACCACATTGAGATTGATGGGTAATTGAGTGAATCCGTCACCACATGGAATACTATTTTTCCCGGGTCCTGCAAGCAGCGATATAAACAGTTAAACAGCAGAAACTTGGACATATTGTCTTACGTGCATAAACCAAACCACAGGTTTTGACTAAAAAACAAACGGATCCTGCATTATGAAGTGGCTCAGATAAACGATATGAACTAGTATAAGATGCTTTACAATAATAACTGGAGTAACAATATGGATCATAAATTTTGAACATGAAAACATAGAACAGAACAAGGTGTCTCAACAGTAAATAGAAAAGACGAAGTTGTTCATCGAACAAAGAGCACAAAACGTAACTTTCTTTTCCTAGTTCCATAACCGGAAAATCCTATGGTATTAACCACAATAGAAGTCTAACGCATTCTGTCTAGATATCAAATTCACAAGTATAGAACCAGAACCAGAACCAGTCGAAAGAAAGAGAACAAAAGTGAGGCATTTACCTTCGCCGAGGAAATTGTAGAGTTAACAACAACCGCACAGGCCAAAACATTGTCAGAAAAGACAACATAATGGTAGAGATCAGGATTGTTATAACTTTGTTGCAAAAGCTCCTTTTTTTCATGATCCAGGGTAAAGTATTCTGTTGTCAACCGCATTGAGAGGCAGTGAAGCCCTTTTGGGGTAGTCCTTGCTGCAAGCTGCATTAAATGTGCTGCTTGCTTCTTCTGCGCCCGAGCTTGCTCTTCGGATTTATAAGTCATGGCATGGAGTTTGGTAGCAATGGCAGGGCAGTTGTGAAAGACACGACTGACCTTGAATAAAGCAAGTTCCATGGCCTTCAATCTTTGAGGAGAGCTAAAAGAAACAAAACACTTCTGTATGACTCTTCTAAATCAGCATAATATTCAGTAAAAACTTTTAGCTTTGTAATTAGATGCCAAAGTAATTTACTAGATGGAACAGGAATCCCTTTGAATCAATCACCTGTGCTTACCTCTTTGACAAATGCTTATCTTTGGTGGCATCACCGACAGCCCGTTCCAGCTCTTTTGTTCGAACTCTCAACTCCTTCACTATCTGGGAATTATTCCCAGGTAGGGCCAAATTAAGATAGGCTTTTGCTTGGATTATTTTGTCGCGGATCTCCTTTACCTTCTCATTTGTTGCTCTTTCAAGCTGAACCCTTGTATTCTTTTCACTCTTAGCTAAAGGGGGTCGAAATTCAGTTTTATGATTAAGTTGAATATCTTTTGCTGAAAGTTCCTCCTGAGCCAAAGGTAAAAGAAAGGGAAAAAAATGCAAAATTAAAGCAAAATATCTGACTATCTCGGAGTACAGTTTAATTTGGGTTGCCTATACACATGTGTTGGCAAGGTCCATAGAAGAAAGTGTTCTGTGAGTTGATTTTAAGATGCTAGGATCAACATTGTGAATTGCTTCAAAACCTAATCACTACTCAAGTTCGATTAATCTTTAAATCGACTGAATTAAAATACGTACCCCTGCATTAGAGCTTACTGTGGTTTGCTGTGAAACTACTGCTCGTTCCTCATTGGTTTGGAGATTGTTTCCTGAAACTCATGGTATCCACAGATAAGAAAGCTTACACGATAATGACACCAAAATAAAATAACACAAGATCGTAAAATTTTTGACCCCCACCAGTTTCTGAAAGAGCAGTTGTTTTGTCTCCCTCAATATACTGCAAAGCATCAGGAGGTTTATCAGAAGAAGTAGACCAAACAACAGGATTTAACTCCTGATCATGTAGAATTCTTTTAGACTCCTTGAAGCCTTCTTCTTCCTGAATTACAACGCAAAACGATTGAACAAAATGAATGCTCCAACACGGTTAAATGATGTGAGTGGCAGCGAACAGAACCTGTTCAATAGCCGTAAGTCTAAGATCATTCGGCTTATATCTCTGCAGAATATAAGTTGCATCTCAGTTGTTCATTTCTCGTCAAACAAAATATTGGCACAAGTAAACAGAAATACTCTAGATTCCTGGAGATGATCAAAACAGGGATCTAAGCACAGGATATACTTACAATGTCGGATACCTCTTCAATAAATTCTCCTCTATCTGCCAGAAAACAATCAGTAAACAAAATCAAAAGTTTTGTAGATGCGTAATCCAAAAGCTGAGACCACAACAGCGATTCCAGAGATTCAATCAAGGCAATCGAGCAACTCTACACATGATGCTCCATCCACTATACTATATTCCATATCCATCAATCAAACATCCACGAAACAAAAAATAGACAGCGAATCGAAGAAACCGATCAAGAAGAAGCTCACCAACGGAAGTGATGCTCTTGAGCCGATTCGAAACGAAAACAATCGGAGCGAAAACGGATAACAATAGCAGCGAGAGGATCAATATCCTCCGCCGACGACGAAATTGATTCATCAATGTACGAAACTTCTCAGATAGCTCTTCATATATTATACTTGTGTCCCTTTAATCGTTCTCCACGAAGAAGAAGAAGCACATCCCAGAGGGGAGAGACACAGATCTCGGAGATTCCCTGCTTGATTAACAAGCAATCAATGAATGAAACGATGAACAGCTTAGGGCTTCGAGATCCTTCCGCAATTGGTGGCCTTCTAATGCGAGAGTCTTTATACTCTACGCTTTCATCTCCGGTGATTCAGAGCTTCCTCGTGCATGTTCGGGGACTTCTGCTCTTTTTTTTTTTTTTTACTTAATACAGAAAATAAAATAAAAATAAACTTTTTAAATTATATTAATTAGGCTTTTGGAAATGGATTAATGTAGAGATGTCAAATGTTACCGAGTTATAGGCGATGAGATCTAGTGCGACGCGGTGTACATGTGAAGGCATGTGATACTAAATACTAATGCTCTTGATGAAGGTGCATATTATGCCACACTTTGTCTTCTTTTTTTATTGGTTTCCATGGAAGATTCTCCCAAACTACCATTTATGTTTCGACACGTGGTCGAAGCTATGGTCCACATGAGATATTCAAACGTAGAAGTTCGTAGCTTGTACCTTGGAGGAATTTGGGGGGATTTGTTTAGAGTTTTATCAGATAGATGACGATAAGAGTGAAGATAACCAAATGATAATAATGTGCTTAACGAATAACGATCTTTTTGATTCACTCCCATATGATTATGGTGGCAACATACTATTGAATTATGATTTTGTGAATCAAAATGAAGTAAAAGTCTAAAATATTAGTTTTTTAAAAATGTTATAAACATTTGATAGAGAATAGATAACTAAATGATCAAAAACTCATCACCACATTTTAATTTTTTTTTGGGTCCATATCCGTATTTTTCTTATTCTAATTTTGTTATAATCAACTGAATGATTCACACAAAAATCCAAACTAACTTCACCTAACTTTATTCATAAGGGCAATTAAATTTTAAGAAAGTAAGACACGCATTAAAAACATGTTTAACTGACTCTAATTCGTAACGTAGACAGGTTGTGTTAAATGATAGAAATCTAATTTGAAGACAAAATTCACATCTAAGGACTCTAAATTTTTGTAAGATTCTATGATATTGATTCCAAACTTCAAATTTGCAGCAATCGAAAATATCTACTCTCTTGATTACAATGGTCGACTTATAGTATACTGTGTGTTACTTTGTATTATGACTTCACTTTTTTTTTTTATCAACCTAAATACCTAAAACGGTTTGACTAGCCTAACCAAATCGGTGATATCGAATTTACATAAATAACATTATCAGAATAGACATGAGCATTTTTGTTAGGTTGTCCGTTTTCGAATTCTTTGCACGTAAGATATATGATATAAGAAAAAAACTGAACATATCTTTCATCTTCCTAATATCCTTCAAGTGTAGAATAACAATTGACAATTTTTCGAGTGCAGATACCATCTTTATCAACTCCGAACAATTTGTTACAAAAACTATTGTCTTCTGGTTCTCGAGCATACAATGCATAACCCATATGAGAGCTTTTATTTCTACAATGCCCTTCACCTTATGTATTTTGGATTTTGTAAAATGGCAACATAAATTGACTTTTTGTATAGTCTTTTATTCATTTTTTGCTAAGAAGTATTTTATTCATTGCAAAGCATTTTGAACAATGAAAATAACCTTGGAAACCACGAGTTCTCTAAGCATGTTAAAGTTTCCAATCCTTGGTCTTACATATTTATTGCTTGATTTACCACATTATATAAAGTTTTGTTTTCAATTTTTTCTCCAGAATTTTACCACAATTTATATAGTCTTGTTTTCATCACCTCTACATATGCCATATATGTATTTGTTTTATTATTGTATCCAATCATTGAGAGCCAAATACTCTGTCAACTTATTTGGTGCCTCCACTATATTTTATCTAAATTTCTTTAATTTCGTTTAATTAATTCATTCACTTTTTTCTCTCATAATAATCGAAGTTTTTAACTTTTTATGACTTGCACTGACTTGCGAGTAGAAAATCGAAATGACTTGCGAGTGTAAAATCGCAGAGCTTTGCGAGTAAAAAATCGCTGCTGGACTTGGCAATGGCAACCACATCAGACAATGCTCCACGGAAAAGCCCACTCAACAAAAATGGAAAAAACAAAAAAGAAAAAAGAAAAAAATGGAAAAAAATAAATAAAAAGAGGAGGAAACGTCGTCTTTTTACTCTCTACGGGTTTGTTTCTCTTCTCCACAAGACCCTTTTTATTAGACGAGACGAGCCTTAAGCTTAACCCTTCTTCTTCGATTTCAGATCGTATCCTCAATTTAATAATCTCCTTATTTTCCACCAAATCTGTCTCCATTCTCTCACCATTAACAATCTCTCTGTTCTCCTTCCTCAGAAATCACCAACCCGCTCTTTTCTCCGTCTTCTCCATCACTCTATTTCGTCCGATTCAGACTTTTAATTTTACTTTCGTTTCTTCTCGACCCTTTTCCGCTAAATTCACTGTGTAGATTCTATCGGATTCGGATTTGAATGTAGCTATCGCCGAAGAGAGGTGAACGTAAATCTGGGGGCTTCTTTTATTCTGGGTCGTCGTTTTTTGGTCTACATGCAGTTTTGGGGATAGTACGTGCGATTAAGCGAGGAATCTTCGTCTAGACAGAGGAAAAGGCTGTAAACGAGTCGTGGGAGAGCAATGGAAGGAGACATGGTGGCTAAGGTGAAGAGGGAGACGGTGGTGGCATGCATGACTTGTCCTCTCTGCGACAAGCTCCTCCGTGACGCCACCACTATTTCCGAGTGCCTTCACACGTGTTAGTTCTTCTTTCCCCTTTTCGATTTACGTTTGAATTCGTCTTTTCTCTGTGAAATTTTTTCACTCGCGACTCGCAATTACTGGGTTTTCTCGTGTATTTTCGTTGTTTGATTGATGATTTGTGTGTTTATGCTCTGTATACATTGAAATTCCGTGAAATTAAATGTTGTTAGTCTCGTCTTCCACTGATATTTTGCTTCTCCTCGATATCTCAATTGATTTGATGAAAAATTAGTATTTTCGGGGTCAATGATGAGTTTGTTGGTTTTTCTCAACAAGAGTTGTTGTTGACCAAAATCTGTAAATTTTGTTTCCATCTAGCCTGCAAGAATCCTCCTTTTGTTTGGCTATTTAGGTTAGTTGTTTTTGAAATTTGCCAGTGTTTTCTTCGTCAACGATGGCATGTTGGTTACTCATAGGCTTTTTCTGGAATTTGGTTTTGGCTAATCATGTCATGTACCTGCATGTCGTTGGTTAGGTGGGAGCTGCGTTGTTGTTATATGCAGCATGTAAGTTGTGTGTTGGGAAAGTTTCAACTAATAAAAGTGACTAGTACTAGTCGTTTGTGTTACAGCCTCTTTACTTCTTCAAGATACTGTTCAATTAAGACACTTTAGATATATTTCTATTTGGAAGATCTCACTGGCGTTAGTTTCATTTAATTCTTAGGGTACTAGCGATCTTTCTGCATGCCGAATGATTTACTGCATTATCTGGTATTTACTGCCTGTCAAGTAATTTGGTAGCATCTGATATAAAGGCATATTGTTCTTACTTGATAGCTACTATCTATTGAAATCAGATAAGTTATTATCTTATGCAGTTTGTAGAAAATGCATATATGAGAAAATCACAGAGGATGAGATAGAGTGCTGTCCAGTATGCGATATTGACCTCGGGGGTACCCCACTGGAGAAACTAAGGTAGGTTATTCTCCTCCTCTAAATTCTAATCCGTATCATTGTTACATAATTGTCTCATGAGGTTTGGTTTAGCAGTGATTCCCGTCTTTCTATATTATATTGCTACTGTGAAGCCTTTTGGCTCTTACTGTGAAACGAATAACTTTAACATAAAGCTCACAAGTTGTGCACGATTATGCTGAAACGTGTCAAATATGGAAGGTTTTTCTATAGTTTTTCTGGCATAATGTGGAATTAATCAAGTAAATCATTTAATATGTTGATTACCTTTCGCTGACATCAACTAGTTTTGATTAGAGCCAGAATTAATTTTCTTTAGTATTATCTCTCTCTTAATTGTTATATCTTTGTTGGTGGTGAACTTATGCATTTGCTAAGGAGCCACTCTTATGCATGTATCTTAGGCCTGACCACATTTTGCAAGACTTGAGAGCCAAAATATTTCCCTTAAAACGAAAAAGAGAGAGGGCGCCTGAAGTTGTGTCCTCAATCACATTACCTGCAAGGAGAAAAGAGAGGTCTATCTCGTCTTTGGTGGTAAGCACACCTAGGGTTTCAGCACAAACTGGTACAACAGGAAAAAGAACAAAATCTGCACGAGGTAGTGGTTCATTCACTAAGAGAACAGTGAAGAAGGAAGAAGAAGTTGGAGATGATCATACAGAGAGTGCAAGCTCGCCTGAAACACTTAAAAAATTCACTCAGAATAAAAGACAGGTAAAGAAGGTGAATTCTCTCTTTAGCTTTGAGTTTCTTTCTTTTTGGTACACTATGGAAAGTAGGTTGTGCATTTCCAGCTTCAGAGTCATTACCCCTAAGACAATGTCATATTTTCCAGGAGCAGACATCATCATGTTTATGTAATTTTTTGATTTTATAAGTCTAGCTTGGACCATGGTCGATTTTGGACGTCAAGTCCAAACACAACCTTATGATCTTCAGATAGTTCCCCACATATTTATTTGTTTTTCCTTTTTTTTTGGTTTTTACTGCAGTCTTCATATGCAGAGCCTAACCAGTCTCTCTCTAATCGAAGAAACAAGGATGTTAATGAACCTTGGGATTCCAAAGTACATCTTTGGAAACCTTTAAACTTTCTTGTGGATGTGGCAAACGGAACAAAGCCCTTAAAGTCTTCTAGTTCTCAAGGGTTGGACCCAAAATCTGAGCATGGAGATGCATCTCACAATGATGTGAGTAAAACCAAAACAAAGGATCATAAAAGAAAATGTAAACTCGAGGAAGAGATCAGCAAAAATGGTGATCCTACAACATCAGAAACTGCTACGCTTAAAAGAACGCGTAGGACTCGCCGTAAAAGGTCATCCACTTTCGGTGATTCAAGCATTCCACCACTACTAGATGGAGCAAGCCTGAAACTGGATAGGAGAAATGGTCCGGTTTGGTTCTCCCTTGTAGCGTCAAATAATCAGTGAGATTCTTGCTCTGTATCTGAGTTTTTTACTAATGTTCAAGATTTTCTTGGTTTTATTATTCTCTGTCTTGGTATCTTGACAAGACTTGCTTGTTTCAGGGAAGGAGAAACATCCTTGCCTCAGATTCCAGCAAACTACTTGAGAATAAGGTAAGTTTTGAAGGCTCTATTTTTATTTAACTGAGCTTTTCTATGTCAAATATTACTTTTTTTGCATTTATACCTTTCTCCATAAAGCCTTCAGTTTTTTTTTGGCCACATCTCACACTTAATTTTCTGGATTGGAAGAATTGAGTTGATCCGCTGTATTATATATGATAGGGATGGAAATATTCCTGTTTCTTTTATCCAAAAGTACCTCATGAGGAAGCTTGATCTCAAGAGTGAAACTGAGGTAAGCATCCTTTTTAAATGCAGTTGCTACTTTTCTGTTTCTAGCTTGTATCCACTCCGTCTAACATGGAATCACATAGACCTGACCGTAGTTTTATAGATCGAGTCAGTTCCTGTTCTTGAGGTCCATAATTGTTAGTAGTAGTAACTTTAAACTTTTATGACTCGCCATCCACAACTATATGGTGATAGAGAAAAATTCTTTGAGATCATGGCTAATGAGTCTCGCCGGTTTGTAAATCTAAACTCGACACTGACCTTACTTACATGTTAGTTAGCTAGAAATCCAAAATGTATGAACTAACATCAACTCACTTTTGTTTCCTTGTGTATCGCGATTCGCGAGTGCTCTCTGACTCTGAAGATCTGGACATTTCTGACTATCGGCTTGATTCTTTGAACCATGGAAATGCCTTGTATTGAATCTTAACAAGACTCGTTTATGTTTCTTTTTAAAACAGGTGGAGATAAGATGTATGGGAGAACCAGTGATCCCAACGTTGCAGCTTCACAGCTTAGTGGAGCTATGGTTGCAGACAACTTCAAAGCATCAAAGAGTCGCTGCATCGATAGGTTCCTCTGCAAAGGAATTTGTAATGGTGCTAGTTTATGCTCGGAAGCTCCTTGAAGGCAACAACTAAAAGAACTGTTTAAGACTCTCCTGCAGAAGAAACACAAGATTAATCTTCTTTTTTTCCATTGAATCTTTCCTAAACCGAGAAGAAGAAGTGAAGTGCAGGAGCAGTCGAATGTGTTGTGTAGTGTAGTTTAAATATATAAATTTTTCTTATATAATCTTTAAATGAATGATTGGTGAGACAGACACTTTGTTGTCTAAGCAGATTCAAAATTGCTTTTTTATAAGAGGTTATGTCCTTTTTGGACATTTGATTGTATGATAGGATAATGTTGTCATTTCTATGAAACATTTGTTTCCTGGTTTGGACTAAATGAGAAGTACACGGAATTCTTGTGAACCGAATGACTTGGGAATTTACTAAGAAGTCAACAGAATTATTGAAGACGTTTGCATAATTCAATTTTGAAACTTTCTATTTATTTTAAACATATTAATAATTGGAATTTCAAAAACAACATTGGATGCTAAAAATGTTAGATTGACGGTATATTGGGGAAAAGCTTCTAACACTAAACAACAACATTTACCAATTAACCTTTTTGAACACATCAGTGGATATATTTGTCTTCATCTAGCTAAACTTTTTGCTAAACACATCATTGATTTCTACTAAAAATCCGTCGAAGACAAAGACACGTTTATACTAAAAGTAACCGTTAGAAACTGCGAAAAAGGGTTGGGTTCCACTTTTTTTTACTTTCAAAGTAAACTCAAAAACTTGGAATTAAACGATCTGCTTTTTGTTTAACTTCGTGGATAACGATGACATGATGAGCCATGCAACAATCTTTACTCTTTTAGATTAGAATGTCCTTGACATTATGAAGCTAAAATCTGATTTAATATACTTATAGAGAAGCCTAATTGCTTGTTTTGGGTTTATTAGTTAATTAACTAAGGAGTCTAGGACACAAACGAGTCTTACCTAAATTAAGGTCTTCGAATGGGACCCACCTCTGAAATCTGTGACTGACGCCGGTTTCGTTCCTTCTCCTTTTTCTCTTTGCTTTCCCAAAATTAAAGTTGTCTTTTTTTTCTTTTTCTTTTCTTTAGAAATGATTTGTTCACTGTGTTTTTGGGGTAAAATCACACAATAAAGAAAAACCAGAGGGATGCTTTCAATTTTTGTTTTGTTTTGGTTGAGTGATTGCAGAAGCGAACTAGAGAGAGAGAGAGAGAGAGAGAGAGTGTCAAGAAAGTCTTCTCTTTCACACCTTTCGTTTTCTCGAACCTCTTTAAAGATGGTGGAGGAATCTTGGGTTTGACAACTCATTAACAGCCTCTTTTAAGCTGCAAGCATCCAAGGAAGGTCCGTTTTGCTTTTGCTTCATAATCATTCTCTTCTCTCTCCCTCTCACTCTCACAATTCCTCCTTGGTCTTCCTCCTTTCAGGTCTATCAAGTTTGATTTTCCTTTGATGTGGTGTTATACCCTTTTTTTTAACCTTGATCCTCTGATGAGAAATTAAGCAGCTTTATCATTTTCGTCTTCAAGCTTCTAGAAAGGCAACTTCTTTTTTTGGGTTTGTGGAGATGGGGTTTGTGAAAAATGGAAATTTGACTATCTGGGTCTTTCCCATTTTTGCTTCCAGGATAGATTAGTGGTTTTGTTCTTGAGTCTTGGGACTGATTTTGTCTTTTGAAGGGAGAAAATTAGGGTTCTTATTTAGTAACTTTTGGGTTGTTTAAGACATGGAGGAGATAGAAGGAACCAACAGAGCAGCTGTAGAGAGTTGTCATAGAGTTCTTAACCTCTTATGTAGACCACAGCAACAAGATCATGGTTACGACAGGAGTTTGGTGTCTGAAACTAGAGAAGCTGTGTTTAGGTTCAAGAGAGTGGCGAGCCTGTTGAACAAAAGTGTGGGTCATGCCAGGTTTAGAAGAGCCAAGAAACTTCAGACCCATTTGTCTCAAAGCATCTTCCTTGATCCTTGTCACCAAAGAACAGAACTTCCATCACCTCTGAAAACACCCGTACTCCGGTCTGGTTTCCATGAATTGAGCTTGAGACCCACAGATTCCCTCACTTTAGGGACCCGGTCTTTCAGTCTAAACTCAGATTCAAAAGCCCCTCTCCTTCAGCTTAGCCAGCAGGCAATGCCTTCTTCAAATTATCCGAGGCTGTTTCCAGAGCATCAACAGCAACAACAGTTACATGAAAGGTTACAAGCTCACCATCTCCATCAGCAACAGCAGCAGCAACAACAACAGAAACATCAAGCTGAGTTTATGCTTAGGAAGTGCAACGGTGGGATAAGTTTGAGTTTCGATAACTCGAGCTGTACTCCAACAATGTCATCTACTAGGTCCTTTGTTTCATCGCTTAGCATAGATGGTAGTGTCGCTAATATAGAAGGAAAGAACTCCTTCCATTTGGTAGGGGTTCCGAGTTCAACGGATCAGAGTTCACAACACTCTAAGAGGAAATGCTTCATGAAAGGAGACGAACATGGAAGCATCAAATGCGGGAGCTCTAGCAGATGCCACTGCTCTAAGAAAAGGTCAGTTGCATATTACTTTGTTTTCATTTCACAGCCTCTCTTGATGAAGATGGTGCATTGAAATCTTGTTGGAATTTGACAGGAAACATCGGGTTAGGAGATCGATCAGAGTGCCTGCTATAAGTAACAAGGTCGCAGATATCCCTCCTGATGATTATTCATGGCGAAAATATGGTCAGAAACCCATCAAGGGCTCTCCTTATCCCAGGTAATACATACACTTCTTTATCGCTCTCTCCTGGTTGATGAACTCATTCCGGATAGTTCAAAATAGAAACTTTCTGAGTTTTATGCACTTGTAAAGATGATATTAAAGCAAAGACCAAATTTGTAGAGGTTTAAGGGATTCATAGAGAGAAGAATAGACACAATTATGTATAAAGTATGAGTCTTTCTCATGAAACTGTTATGTTGTAATTATTGTGTGCAGAGGGTATTACAAATGCAGTAGCATGAGAGGTTGTCCAGCAAGGAAGCACGTTGAGAGATGTTTAGAAGATCCGGCAATGCTTATTGTAACATATGAAGCAGAGCATAATCACCCGAAGCTGCCATCTCAAACCGTTACAACTTAACTCTCTCATTTATCTTGTGGTCAAGCAAAAAACTTGTCATGAATGTTCTCTTTTGTGCGCGATGATCGACCTTTGACTTTGCTCCAATATTGTGATATATGATGGGGGGGAGCAGTGCTTTTGGTGGGGTAGATTTTGCTTGCGAGAGTTTGCAGCAATTGATGAATTTGGGGGTTCAGGGGTAAATGTAGGATTTGTCAAGACTCTTCTTTTCTCTCTCAAGTTTATTGCTCTTATTGAGTCCAAGTTTTCTTCTACCTATGTATCTTTTGGGTTTTTATAAAATATGGATGATGTTAGAATTTGGAGATTTGTGTTGTGATTTTGCATTATGGTGTTAACTAAGTTAATTTATTCTAGGAAGCCTGGGAAGAGAACTTGAATGATAAAGGATAAACAATCTTTAATTTATAATGGAATATTTATTAGACAAATGAACGGAAAACCATGTACATTATTAAGCATAGTGAATGAAAAATCAATTCAAGACAATTTTTTTGGTTATTCTTCCAACTTCAAGCTTCTTCAATTTGAGGAATGGACTACAAAGTACAAACAATAAAGATTCGAGCGAAAAAAGATACCAAATTGTAGTTTGGCTTTAATGATTGTGATCTCAATATGCTTACCAAAAAGGTTTTGAACTAACAATGAAACTCAGCTTTTCACTGTACAAGTAAATCCAAAATTTCGAATATAATGGGGCCTTTATACTTGAATTATCTGGCCCATTTATCTACACAAGTGACATGAATCCACCAACTCTCTTCTTCCCCTGACAAAAAATAAAAAATATCTCAAATCAATCATGTCGTCTTCTTCGTTTTCGGGTTTTTAATTTACGACACTTTCTATCTTTGTCTTAAAAGGATTAGATCTATTACACGATCATGAGTCACGACGACAGTACATAAGGTAAGGCTTATATCCACCTCTAAAAAAGATTTGATCTTTGGTTATACATATCTTCATATATTTGGCTGTATCCGTTATATACAGTCGATGCACTCTGCACCTTGATATTTTCCTCTCTCTCTCTTTTTTTTTTTTTTTTGATTTGCCACCGTCGTTTTTCTCGTGTTTTTATTTCCACGTTGTGGTGGAGATTTGACGGCGGAAGCTCATGGTGGGGTACGCGCCAGTTGTGTATGTTTTTTATTAATGGATTCAGATATCTTCTGCCAAGTTGATGGCTTTCTAGTAGATTCTGGGTTTTATCACTGAAAATGACATTTCTTGCTAAAAATAACCTCAAATTGCTTTGATCTTATTAAAACAGTAGTTTGAGAAAAATCTTAGTTTGTGTGATCTGGGTTTTTTTCGCAAGTGACTTTGGTTTGATTTGATCTATGTGTTTGTGTAAATGTCTCAATGAGGGGTTTCTATTTTTTCTCCTTGGTTTTTCCCTTTATTTTGTTTTTTAGTGCCTTTGGTTTCGGTTATAAATAGTGAGGTTGATGGCTAAATATCATTAGGTACAAACAAGAGATTTCTATCAAGAAAGATGGTTGCGTTGAAAGAGAAGAAGTTTCTGACCGTTGCACCTTTCGAGTGTGCTTGGAGTGATGATCTCAAGTTCCGGGAAGCGGGAAGAGGCTGCGTTGCGTTTGATGCGTTTGCTCACAACGATGTCACGGTGGTGTTCAGAGAGAATGTCGGGAGTCAACATTACCATTATAAGAAAGACAACAGTCCTCATTACATTGTGATCATTGGTAGTAACAGGAACCGGAGGCTGAAGATTCAGGTTGATGGAAAATCTGTGGTAGATGAGGAAGCTTCTGATCTCTGTTGTTCTTTGGAGTTCGAGAGCTACTGGATTAGTATCTATGATGGGTTGATTAGCATCGGGAAAGGTCGGTATCCTTTTCAGAACCTGGTCTTTCAGTGGCAAGACTCCAAGCCTAACTGTAGTGTCCAGTATGTTGGTCTCAGCAGCTGGGATAAACATGTTGGATACAGAAACGTGAGTGTGTTTCCCGTGACTCACAATCATATCTCGCTGTGGAAGCAAGTGGATTGCCGTGAAGTTAAAGGAGAAGAGCCTGATGATGAGAAGTTTGTGGAGGAAGGGACCGGTTTTGGTTATGAACACTGGGGGCTCGGTGATTTTCTGGAGAGCTGGGAATTATCTGACATTGTCTTTCTTGTTGGTGAAGAGGGACTTGATGTCCCTGCTCATAAGATTATCTTACAAGCATCTGGTAGTTTTCCTTTGAGCTCATCAAATGGGGATGTCATTCAACTTCGTGGAGTATCGTATCCGATTCTTCATGCACTTCTTCAATATATTTATACGGGACGAACTCAGGTACTTACTCCTATATCTTCTTCCCTTAAATTATTTGTCTTTGTTTTAGACTTTCAGTTGTGAGGTACTGAGGTGTTCTTCTACCACTTGAAATGCTTTGTTAGTACTTGAAGAGTCTTCATCTTCCTCATGATATTCATGACGTTTTTGTTTTTAATGTAGATATTGGAATCAGAACTTGCTCCATTGCGGGATTTAAGTTCTAATTTTGATGTGATGCCATTGGTGAGACAGTGTGAAGAAAATATAGACCGCTTAAAACTTAGCAACAGAGCATTTGACCCCTGCAAAAAAGTCAAACTCTCGTGTCCGATTTCTCACCCTCTATCTGGTTTTATGTTTCCCACTGCTTTCCCTGCTGATGTGGGGAAGCTGAAAATGTTGTACTCAACAGGCGAGCATAGTGACATAAAAATATATCTCAGTGACCATGGTCTCACTTTCCAGTCTCACAAAGTCATTCTAAGTCTTTGGAGTGTCGCATTTGCAAAGGTGAGAAACTCTCTTCTGTGGTTGGAATTCTGATGTGGATTGAATAGATTAGATTCTTAAATTTCATTTATTCTCAATGAACATACAGATGTTTACAAATGGGATGAGCGAAAGCCATTCGTCAACGATTTACTTAACCGATGTATCACCAGAAGCATTCAAGGCTATGATTAATTTCATGTATAGCGGAGAGTTGAACATGGAAGACACGGTGGATTTTGGTACCGATTTGATCCATCTTCTCTTTCTAGCTGACCGGTTTGGAGTTGTTCCTCTTCATCAAGAATGCTGCAAAATGCTCCTGGAGTGCCTCTCAGAGGTAAATTTTTTTCCACAACCCTCTGGAGGAAATGATGTTTCTCTCTGTCATTATCATGTTTCTCTTCTTTTCCAGCGCATCTGTTACAATATGGTTTCTGTTTGGTAGAGAGCCTAACGAGCAGTGAAGTGAGTTGCGGTTTCAGCCTTCTGAAAAGTGAAAAATAAAAGAGAAAAAGAAACCAAGCGAATGATTTTACAACATACAAAGTCAAGAAATATTAATATTGTTCCATGTATATACTACATGCAGGGACGGCGTTTTCGTTTTGGAAGAAGGTCACACAACAAGAATAATTCTTTTATGCAAGTTTATTGGGCGCGGAAGCAGACAAATTTGGAAAATTACTAGGGCCGTTTCTAAATCTAACCTCTGAACTTTGTTGCAGGATTCAGTGTGCTCAGTTCTCCAAGTGGTCTCGTCCATCTCATCATGTAAACTTATTGAGGAGATGTGCAAGAGGAAGTTCTCCATGCACTTCGACTATTGTACCACTGCCAGTTTGGACTTTGTCTTGTTAGATCAGACCACTTTCAGTGATATTCTTGAGGTGTGTTTTCTCTAGCACCAACCTTTTTTTTTCTTATAAGAACCTCTCAACCCACATGGCGACTCAAAAACAAAAAACTGCTATATATATTTTAGTTCTTCAGGAAAAACATTGTAACTCACTGATCAGTGTTAATTATCATGAAGAATATCTTCGGAATTGTAATGAACAGCACCAGGAGTGATGAATGACGACTCCTTTCTTTATGTCTTGTAAATTATATTGCAGCCAGTATTAAATACTGAATTTACAGTCTGCAGATCTGACAGTGACATCTGAGGAAAAGATTCTTGATGCTGTTCTCATGTGGTGCATGAAAGCTGAAGAGTCGCTCGGTTGGGAGCTTATAGATGAGCTAATGAACTACTCAAATCCAGAAATTTTGTTCAAAGAAAGGCTTCAGTCACTTGATGATCTGTTGCCTCATGTACGCTTCTCTTTGTTGCCATACGAGTTGCTTAAGAGGGTAAAGCAGATCCTGACCCTGCTACTGCTAGATGAACTTTATCATTTTTTGTAATTTGACTATGCTGATGCCATCTATGCTTAATGATCTTGCAGTTAGAAAACAGCAACCTTAGCAGACAAATCCCAATATTCAATCGTCTTGTAAGTTTGTAACATTTATGTCCATCTTGTTTCGCAGAATATTTGTTTGTCATTTCAAGACTTTTCTTCTCTCCAAGCCCTCTCTTATATTGTCTTGTGTACAGGTGAAGGAGGCCGCTAGCTTTCTGGCTTCCAGATTGACATGCCCAGGAAATGAACCGATGTAAGAATTACAAAGTCTTGCATCTTATGACTGTAAACAAATCTAGCTTTGTATGTCCAGATTAGTCAGTTATTAAAGTTTTTTTACCTCTTGTTCAAGGTGCCAACACCGGAGATCGAGTTTCAAGGAGCTTCAATACATACGGGACGGCGATAGCAATGGAGTGCTGCACTTTGTTGGTACATCTTATGGAAGTCATCAATGGGTCAACCCCGTTCTCGCAAAGGTTAAACTCATTTTTATCTTCATCTTGTTGAACTCGTCTTATATGAACCATGACAAGGATTCTACTGGTGCAATAGTTCCTTATGCTTTAAATTCTCTGTGTTTCCAGAAAATTAACATTACATCCAGCAGTCCCACTTCCAGATTCACTGATCCAAAGGCTTTAGCTTCGAAAACCTATGTGGTATGGTCTACCAAAGTTTGTTATTCTTATATGATCGAAATTTTGCTTGAACGATAATATTATTCTTTTCATATTACTTTTCTTTCTAGAAACTAGAGCTTAGCTGTAGAACGAAATTTCCCATCTGCTCTACAAGTATAGGAGATTACCAAACTCTGTCTCTTGAAGTAACTTACATAACTATAACTTACTGGTGATCTTGTTCAGACATCTGAAAACAGAGCTTAGTCTTTTCCCCTTTTGTATTGAAAAGTAAACCTTAGTTTTTTTTTTTTTTTTACTTGCCGGTTTTTAAGATGAAGCCTAGAGTTAACTACACGGAAACCTTTCTCCTCTTGGATACAGAATTAAACCATATGATTTCGACTTTTTTTTGTGTGCACCAGGGTACTTCCTTTGCAGGGCCTAGAAAGGAAGATGGCCATATATCATCTTGGTGGATGGTGGACTTAGGCGAAGATCATCAGGTTTCCTCCTTAACTCCCTTTCTATCACATACTCTGTTTTCATAAAGACACAAACGGTCTAAGAACATCATAACTCATGCTCGCAGAAAAATAAGAGAAAATGTATTTGAGTAAAACAAATATTCGTATTATCTTTTAGTCGATATATCTGAGAAACTAACCTGTTGAGGATTGTTGGATGCAGCTTATGTGCAACTACTACACCTTCAGACAAGACGGGTCAAGAGCATTCACAAGGTCCTGGAAGTTTCAGGTATCTTATCTAAGTAATCATTTAGCCTAGACTTGGTGTCTTATTGAGACAAGCTGCTTAGGAAGAATCTGTGTTGGTGTTGTTGTCTTGATGGGTTTAAAGGGATCAATGGATGGGAAAACATGGACTGACTTGAGAGTCCATGAGGATGACCAAACAATGTGCAAGGCCGGTCAGTTTGCATCGTGGCCAATAACAGCAGCAAATGCATTACTTCCCTTTAGGTTTTTCAGGCTGTTTCTGACCGGTCCAACCACAGACACATCAACTCCTTGGAACTTTTGCATTTGCTACTTGGAACTCTACGGTTACTTCCGTTGAAACCACTCTCTGCTATGAACTGGCCTTTTGACTGTCTCTAGTTCACACGTGTGTGTTTTTTGTCCCTTTTTTTTGTTTCTTTCTTTTTCCCGTTTGTCTTATTCGACTGTTATCTTTGAATATGAAAAAAAAAACACTGTTCACAGAAGATCTCAATGGTTTTAATTAGAAAGTGTTTAATTTCTCAAGTTTATTCTAATTGGATTGTTTTGATTTTCTCGTAAGATATTTATCGTCTGGTAATAAAAAATGGAACCATCCGGGCTCTGAATGTAACGTCTATCTTTGTGTCCATGCAAATGAGGTCTACTTTGTTTCTTATACATAATCAATATATTAATTGACTAGCATAATTTAAAAGGAACATTTGATTAGTAAAACTAAAAACGGTTTAACTGTGTAAGTAAGTATTTACACCAATGCTATTATGAAGTCTTAATGATCTTTGTTTTTTGTTTTTCTAATATGTCCACGAGTATAATAAACAGATCATTATTCAACACAGAGCCGTGCTTAATGAACAAAAAATAAGGCATTTGCTTTAGGTCTCCTTAATATTAAGCAAGTTTTAGGGCCCCTAATTTTTGTATTTTTATTTAGTATATTGGTTGGTGTCCAAAAAAAAGAAAATTACTATATTGGTTAATATATATTTTGTGTTATTTTTTTGGTTGAAAATTTATTATAAATTAATAAAAAGCATTAATACTTTATAATATCTTATAAAATAATATTTAAATCTGATTTACAACTTATATTTTTTTAGAAATAATTAGAGCAAAATGGAAATTTTTTCTTGTCATTTGCCTTAGGCCCCTAATACTTTAAGCACGGCACTGATTCAACACAAGGTATCCATTCAGCATAAGTTACCCAATACGTGCAATTCTCACACCCAATGTTGTAGGCAATGTAACTGATCAATTCAGAGAATTTGAAAGACTCACAAAGACTGTAGATTTTTACCATATGATACATGTTTTTTTTTTGGCTAAATCATATGATACATGTTGTGTAGCTCCACTATCAATTATCAATGCTTGAAAGGATATAGCATTTCTCGTAGCTCTCAAAATGCCAACAAAACACAATGTAGAGTAAGAGAAAGCCATATAGTACCCAGTACCCACTAGATATAATCATATAGAAGCCATTTGGTCATTAGGGAGTTGAAGTTGAGATAAAATAGGCATTAACGAAATTGTTTATGTCCAAAAAGCCCGATTTGAGAAGACATGAACAATAATGGGCCAATTAGTGGTCCGATGATACTTTCACCAAATTTTGACCTCTTTGCCCAAAGCTAGAGTTCCCTTTATTCGGAAATTCAATCATTCCAAAACATTAGTCTAAAATTAGGATTGAGAATTGTGGTCTCCTTCGTCCCCTCTTTTCTCATGATATTCAACATATAAAACTTCACGACACTTTGCTTTTGATTCGAATTGAGTAAGATTTCATATTGGGGAAAAGAATGATGCATATTTTGAGTTGAACGCAAGTTATTTGGTTTTGATAGGATTTCAAATGTTAGTCATATATGATAATTTTTTTTTTCTTAATACAATGAGAGTACATACAGGAATAAATTCCTAATTATTAATTCCTTATTTTAAATGACATGGTTCATATATTAGTCAATAGTCATATATGATATTTTTAATTTTATAGAAAGAGAATACATATAGGAACCAATAACTAATTTATAATTCCTTTTTTAAAATGACATGGTTTCAAATATTAGTCATATATGATGATTTATAAATTTAATATATATAGAGAGAGTACATATAGAAACCAATCTCTAATTTATAACTCCTTTTTTAAAAATGACATGGTTTCAAATATTAGTCATATATGATGATTTTTTCATTTTTATAGAAAGAGAGTACATATAAACACCAATTCCTAATTAATTATTCCTTTGTTAAAATGACATTGTTCCAAATATTAGTCATATGTGATCAAAATTTGTTTGTTTTATAGAAAAGAGCATATATAGGATAATATCAAAAAACAAAATCCTGTTATAACACATATCATATATGGACTCTTATACCGGTCCATTAGGCCCATCAGGGCATTGTACTTAACCTAGATTCCCTATGTACTCTATATATACATTCCAGTGATTAATAAAGTTTCTAAGTTTTCACAACACGTTATCAGCACGATAAGACTCTCTGAGCGAAAAACCCTAATAAATCCGGCCACCACCAAAACCCTAAAAGCAAGTCGAAACTTAAAAGACGCATATCTTCCAAACCGTGAGGAACCAGAAGACGATCTACATATCAAATCGAAGCCCTCGACGAGACGAATCTACTGGTGAAAACCGTTTGTCGATCCAACGTCGGACGCGCCCTCACGCACACTTACAGTACACGACGATCAACCGAAAAAAAAAAAAAACCAGATCCGAGTTTTTCCTTCTTCAACCAGCAGCTTCTCCAGTTTTGGTGATCAATCCTTGGAATTTGTAGCGGCTAACTGAGGTCTATTAGCTCCCAGTTTCATTAGCCTGTCAGAAATCCAAAGGTGGAAAAGGTATCTTCTAAAACTGAAAGCCATAGAACCTGTTGTTTAAACACTTCAAAACCCTATAAAAAAAAAAAATCGATCTCTAATTGATTGAAAGTGTTTGATACTCTGATGATTGATTGATAACTTGTTGATTGATTGTTTAAATTACAAGTTTATGCATGTTCAAAGGTTTTAAACTCGTTTTATAAAACCCTAATCTACAAAAACCTAACAACCGTTTTTGGCCATGTTTATGGCATAAACCTATTCGATTTTCTTCATGTTTAATAAGCTTGTTGCAGCTTATTTGATTGTTGATTCTCTTGCTTGAAACACTTGATTGAATAAACTAAGAAAATCAACCCTAAATCCTAAGCTTGATTCACGATTTTGTAATCTTCAAAATCGTAAGTCATAATGCTTAAACCCTAGTCCTTTTCACGTGATTTCTTTGTTGTCCTTGTGAAATTATTAAAACCATCGACCACAGATCCTATAGATCTCGAAATCACATCCAAAATATGTTTTCCAAACCGTTAAAACCCTAGATAAAACCCTAATCATATTCGGCTCCCCTAGGGTTCCTCCTAAACCGCCTAAAACCGGCTAAACCTGGTTCTCATTAACCGAAATTATATTCGGCTTTAACCGATTAAATCACAGCTATTAAACCGACATCATGTTCGGGGTAACTAAAACCATACCCTTTAAAATTTACTATTTCCGAGAAAGTTCCCTCTAATAGAAAGTTTCCTCATATAAAAACTTTCCTCATATAGAAATTTTCCCGACATAGAAACTTTCCTCATTTAGAAAATTACCCAAATTAGAAACTTTCCAAATTTAGAAACTTTCCTAAAATAGAAATATTCTCAAAATAGAAAGTTTCATCATCAGCATTCAAAATTTTCTCAAAACAATCCCTAACAAAATCAATCTCATGTTTCAGATGTCAAACATTCAGAAATGTGAATTCGAGGCCCTTCACGTCTCCGGGGATAACTACCTCGAGTGGGGCCTAGACATGCGCTTGTTCCTTGCATCGAAAGAACTCGATGCATGTATTACCGACGGTAACACCGCATCCCGTAAGGGACAGTCTCAGGCGATATGTCACATACGCCATCATCTGGCCCCGAGCCTTAAGCAGCAATATCTCACTCTTGAGAATCCACTTGAATTGTGGCAAGCGCTGAAAAAGCGATATGACCATCAGAAAATGGTCCAGTTGCCTCAGGCAGATTTCGACTGGAAGAACCTTCGGTTCCAGGACTACAAATCCGTAGATGATTACAACAACGAACTCTTTCGTATTGTTGCCATCCGGAAACTCTGTGGCGAGGATGTGACAGATAATGATCTCCTCGAGAAAACATTATCCACATTCAGCACAGAGAATGTTGTGCTCCAACAACAATACCGTGCAATGAAACACACATTGTACGAAGACTTGTTGTCCTGTCTTCTCCTCGCTGAGAAGAATAACCAGCTGCTTATGAGGAACAGCACTATGAGGCCCCCGGGATCGGCTCCTGTCCCAGCTTCTCGTCAAGAGTCCTACCATGTTCAACCCGATAGATCCTCAGATCACCGCCGTGGACGTGGTAATGGACGTGGTAATTGCCGAGGACATGGACGTGGAAGACGTGGACGCGGACATGGTCGTGGCAACCGACCTAACCTCAGTTATGGTCCTGGTCGTGGTCGAGGCATCACCAAGCCGACCCGCCACACCAACCCCGATCACTCTGCTTGTACCAGATGTGGGATGTTCAACCACCCAACAAAGCAATGTCGCACCCCCAAGATCCACTGCGATCTATACCAGAAGTACGGAAAAGCTCCTGCTGAAGCCAACATGACTCAGCCAGTCGATGCTGCTAACCTGGAAGGTGACGACCTCCTTGATGATGAGAACACCACAAACGAGCAGACCGACCCCATGGACTATGAAACAGCTGATCTCCTCGATTAATTCAATCATCTGAAACTCTGATACAATTTGATTTTGTTCTTTATTTTTTTTTCATTTTGGGATTTGTTTCATTTTTTTTTTTTTCCATTTGCCTTTATTCTCAGACACTGCTTTACTTTATGATTTATCACATTTTCTGAATTCCTCAATACTGAATTCTATCTTCTATTCATAATGAAACACACCAGCAAATGGAAACCATAGTCGTAGATAGTGGATCCAACCACACTATCTTAAGAAACAAAAGTTACTTCATAAACCTAACCTATCAAACCGCAAATATTAGCACCATCGCGGGTCCCTCAAACCTTATCGAAGGATATGGCCATGCCTATGTGTTGCTATCAAATGACACACAACTTGAAATACCAGATGCTCTATATTCTCCTAGTTCGAAGAGAAATCTTCTGAGCTTCAAGGATATAAGACAGAATGGTTTCCACATAGAAACCTAAGGTCAAGGGAACAAAGAATCCCTCCTAGTCACTAAAACCGTAGACGGCCATAAACAAATCCTCGAAACCATACCCGCGCTCTCTACTGGACTTTACCATGCTAAAGTCAGTATGATTGAAGCTAATACCACTCTCAAAGCCCGGTTTACTGATTATACTATTTGGCACGACCGGCTCGGTCATCCCGGTGCAAATATGATGCGTAAACTAATTCAAAACTCTCAAGGACATACCCTCAAA